TTACCTGTCTAGCAATCATGACAGAAACCTTCGCTCAGATAACAATCTGCTTCTCTTATGTCCCTCTCACAACTCCGAGTTCGTGAACTCTTCGTTCTCTGTTCAAGCAGTACTACTCTGGAATGCGCTCCCGCTCGAAATCAGGATGTCCACAAACCGCTTTATATTCAAAAAGAAGGTACATGCTCTCCTTCTTAAAGAAATGGCAGAACGGTCTAATCCATAGTTAAGTATACCTCATATTCAGGTTTTCATAGTGTACGAATAAGATATGTCTATGTATCTTTATAAATATACTTGTATATATATATATATGTATATGTATCTATGCGTATTTATGATGTGTAAGTGTAGTATGTGTGTATATGTTTATATATGTAGTGAACCGTATATATTTTCATTGTACATTCGATATTATGATGTAACCTCTGTGCACCTACCTTACAAGATTTCTACATCACCCAAAGGTTGACTGGAAGAGAATGCCCTGGGCATTAAGTCCGCCGATGTACAAAAGTGCATAAAGATAAATAAATAAATAAATAAATAAATTGAAGGAGTTGGAAATATAAGAAATTGACTATAATGAATACAAAATAGAATAAAATAATATAATCTTTACATAGTAAAAAATAAAGTCGCTTTTTTGTGTTGTGCCTTAGATCTTATAAACTAAGCAACGGACTTTAATGCGGTTTTCACCACTATAGAGAGTGATTCAAGAGGAAGGTTTATATGTATAATACATGCATATTATAATAGTGAAAATCCGAGAATTTAAAAGATTTTTTGTAGACAACATGTTTTTGTGCGCTTACATTGCAAACGCTGGCTAAACCTTACCAGATAGACCAAAAAAATGTACTTACTACGAAATTGTATCTTAATAAGGATCTCAGCGGGCCTATAAAAATCGCATTGAAAGATGACCTGTAGTATAGTCCTACCATAATTATAGTATAATTATTTACTCCACACAGACACCACGATATTTAACAAACTTCTCTAAGTTTGCAAAATATCGTATCTTATACAATCAAAATGTCAAACAAGTTAGAGAACACACACACTAGATATAGCACGAGATATACACCAGGTGGTAGATCGGCAGCTGTGCTGTTCCTCATTTGACGCCCTAAGCAGGTCTATTTGCCGGAGATTTTTACAAAGAAAAAAGAATGTGACTTATTAACTCAGTACCAAATCCTAATCAAGTAAAAAATAAACGTCAATTTTTTTCAATTTATTACCTACTACAGGCTCAAATACTATTGAGTTCATTTCTTTTATAAAATTTAAACATCGCAATTAGTAACATTTGCAAATTTAACATGCGTGTATATGTATAGTTTATTATGTGATCTCAGTAAATTACCTAAAACGTGTTTTATGATTGAGGAAAACGTTCCGTTTCATTATACACGTGTAATAAATTTGATATAAAATTGTTAATAGATCGAGCAGTTACGAGTTAATAACAGTCTTAATACTGAACATTGCCGTCTCGTTGTTATAAAAACCAAATGGATATAAACCATAATAAGATATAGTTGTTGTGTATTCGTAAGATTAAGGTATTTTAAGAAGCATAGTAGTGTATTTTATAGACAAATGCAAAAACAAAATTCTTTTTCGACTCCTTTTTTGTAACAGATTTTGATGTTTCGATGAAAAGCTGAATAGCACAGCTGCAACAACATCTAAGCAAGAAATCCACAAATCAGTGCTACCTTTAGGTAGATCTATTTATTTCGCTTCTAATCTACCGATCTAAAAACAAAACCTAGTAGGTAATCAAATTAAGAAAGGCTAAGAATAATTAAATTATCTAGTTATTTAGTAATTAAATGAGTGTCGAGTTGTACGCATAATAAATAATCTTGATTAAAGCCCGTGTACTTTCGCGTAGCCGTTTCATTACCCCCACTAAATAATAAATTATAGTTTCAAAAACCTAACAAAACACGCTTTTGTAACTAGAAGAACTAAAAAGTAGAAAATAATTTACTATAAGTTCAAAAAGAAAACTGATGTTATTGTAAAAATGCGAGGGGTGCTAGATCTCAATTTTTTGAAAAATGTTTTATTGACCGATATTGGTATAAGTAATATTATTATAAATATACATATACTATTTTTATTATATATATATATACTATTAATAATATTATAAAGTATTTTGTAAAGCACCCCACGCTATTACATCCTTTCTTGAAATTATTAATTTCAATGCTCAAAAGACTACATGTCTAAATCATTAATATTTAAAGGTCAATGGTGCTAATTCTGTTGTTCGAAAACTCTCAAAATATCTTACTCAGTACGGATATATCGACACATAAATTACATTACGAATTACAACACACATTACGAATATAGTGCTTCTGAATATATCGATATACGCTATTATTATGGAACGTTTTATGGATAATCGATTTTTCTAGCTTTGGCTGAAATATCTACTGAAGGTTCACCTTTTATGATTATTGATTTGCTTCTGCCCACGGGTTCACTCGTACGGTAGAGTGAATAAATCAACATTATTAGAAATAATTTAGAATATTATTGACTCTTTTAAACGTTTTTTTTCTACTATTAAATAGAATATAGTATAGTTATCTGACGGAATAAAACAATATACATCACAGTGTGATGAGGAAAAGACATTGTCCTTGATAACGGCACATAAATAGACATACATCGATATTTTCAAAATGTCGATATGTTGTCGTTCGGATCCTGTCAAATTTCGTACTCACCAGTCTCGTTTGACACTCACACGACCATTGCTCACAAGGCAATTGTAGTTTGTTTGGTTGTTTTATTTTTGTTCAATTTAGTGTTAAACTCGCATAGATGTTTTTCTATTTATAATTTCATATAGTGTTACTCTGTTATGCATAATGAGACGCTAAAATTTTGTGCATTAATCTCATTATAATGGATGCATGCTTTAGATTTTAGTAATTAATGTTAGTAAATTATTGGACAGCACTGGCTGTAACTAAATAAATAAATTGCTTGTGCCTTGTGTAAATGTGTATTGAAGTACATGTATTCGAATTATTATTATTAATTTATTTATTATTGATTTATTTATTCATAGCTAGTATTACATCTGCTTGGTAAGCGAAGACTTTTTATTTGTTTTACCAATACATGCCAAGCAAGTAACCTCCACCCTTTTAGACAGTGGGCTAACACTTTCTACAGCAAATAATATTTTCGGATATATGATACACAACGCCATCTAGTTTCAAACAAAACATTGACAATATGTTAGTACTTAACCTCGAAACATTCAAAATCCAATATCTTTTTTTCTAACCTTTTTTCCTAGAATGGTCAAGAATAAATTCTCAAGTGTTTAAGGCATTTTTGATATTCAAACGCTACCATTTTAGTTCAAATAAAACTATGTATGGGGACCTGCCATTGTCCTTTGCAGTACAACTATTTTGCGTAACCGGGTAAATAATCAACCAAAACTTTCATGTCAATGATGACTTCCGGGAGAGTTCTAGGTAACCCAAAAACGATCCTCTTCTGGCTAGTTCATAAGAGCAATTTTCCATTGAGCCTTTTCCCTAAACTAGGTTGTAGTCGGCTTTAACTCTACTACGATACGGCTGACCCTTATTTTTTTACGCAGAGCGACCTCCACAATCATAATAAGAAGAATGAAGTTCATAAGAGGCATCAATACATATTATTATATTACTTTACTTATCATAGTTTTAATATAATTTCACACGTCAAATAAATCTACTTAGTTAAGATCATTGAACAGTAAGAACACGGCACTTAATTTTACTTTTTGATATGCTGATTTTGATTCTACTAAATACATGTTGTGTTTAAAACTTTGAATGTCATTCGTACGAGTATAATTCTATATATATGTCATTAAACCATATAACATAAGCCTTGGTTCACAACAAATTTAAAAATTATATGTACTCATTAATGGCAATAACATAAATCTCTTCTTTTATTTCTTTTAAGCCACTTAGAATGTGACGATTATCACCACAACTTGGTTCCGCTAAGTCAAACAAACAACAACACAGCGCGTCTAACATTTTTTGCCCTAAGCTATAATTATATGCTCCTGACTTCGTTGTGAATTTATAACACGCAGTTTCAACCTGTATTTTAAAAGAGAACTTTTGCAAGTCAAAGCCCCTTAATTTTATCACTAGCTTACTCTCAGATCTTCAGACTTCCAAAGAGGTTCTATCATTCACACGCTTTAAATTGTGAACACAATTAGTGTTTACCCCATAAAGGAAACAACCCGCAACAACAAGTCAAACAAACCGAACAACTCCATCAATAATAAGATTTTAACACTATACAAGAAATATGTTGTCCGTGTGGTGACGGATTAAGAATACGGAATGTCACCCCTCCTATTCATCCAGTAGGTGTGTCAAGAGCCGACTAAGGGAGCTCAACGACGCAGGACAGAGGTAAAAAGAAGGAAAACTTGACACAAACCCTATACCAACACATCTGGCCAACGTGGTAAACTTGAAAAATTTTACCTATCTAAACTATGTAATTAGTTTTAGAGGTAGTTTTATAATAAAATAGTTAATAACAATGTCTGAACTAAGTTTCCTTTAATAAGATCCCATGTGAAGTATGTTATGCATCAACTTTGGAAATAATTCATATTTAATTGGTTTCATATTTAAAATAACACGTATTATTTACAATAACAATTTAAATAACTCGATCAACCTACTTTATCATCAAATACAGATGATTCACAACCGATTTGGACTAAAAAGCTTATCTTGTCATATATTTCATGATTTACTGCTTATACTTAATTTTGAATATTAATTAAAACTTTTTTCTGTGCTTCCACGTTATGCTTAAAATTCGTCTAATGTGGTGTATTCTATTAGGCAGATTTCTGTAGTTATCCGAGCACATTTTACTCTATGGACACAATACACAGATGACTTGTTTTATTCTAAACCATTATACATATGAACACATTTTACCAGTTCCAGTTATTACTACTATGGTGCGTCTACAGTTGGTCGGGGGAGAGTGCTGTATTAGATCCATCTCTCTACTTATCTCCAATACCTCCGCTGACTGATCGTACCGACAGCATCGCACCAGCGGCATTGTGGTCTCGCTCAGCTATCAAGCTAATGCCTGGTTCCAGTGCTTCATCATCACAAGTAGTAGACGAAAGTAAGGCAATATTGATATCAATTATTTCAAGTATACATACACTTAACTTTAAGTCCAGGTTCAAAGTTCTGTCAAGCACCATTCTAAAAGTATATATCCTATACACAACGTTTTGCAGTTTTTGTTTGTTGAAATAACCTGACCACGATGTGTAAATGGCCATGAACTCCAAAATTTAATCTTTAAATTTTTTATTGCCAATATTTTTTTCTCTCTCGGATTGTTTGTAGCTTCTTATTTTTCGTAAACTTTTTCCTCAATGATATTTAAGCTTTTAATGGTGTTATGCTAAACATAGGCCGTAGGTGACGGGTCGAGCTGACCGTTATCCTTGCAGAAGCAGGCCTGTGACGGTAGTACCATCTATTCTAAGCGCAATTCTCGTATTTGGAAGGGTTAAGCTGCGCATAATCCAAGGTGTTTTTGACTCTTTATCAAGCGGCTTAAGTCTATAGGGGTTCTCAGTACCTTCCTTGTTAGAATAACCCGGGTCTCTGCAATAAACTCACGTGTGACGAAATTCCACGTGGTTTTAGTCAATTCGAGTGTGACACCACTATTTCACCTTCCCCTCCTGTGTGTAAACCACATTGAGTCATCATGAATTGATGAGATCCATGTTTCCACACAAAAAACGGTCTTATACTAAACATAGGCCTGCGTAGCCTTTGTATTAAATACATATAAACAATTAATATAGGTAGGTAGTTATCGCTTTGGTGGATGTCAGAGTAGAATAGAAATACAATCGAATTGGTATCGACTTCTAAGGCTCAGGTATTAAGATAATAAATCAACATAATGAATATGAGAGGACAAAACAACTTGAATATTAAATGCTGTGTGTCTGTGTATATAATATTGTACGAGTATGATTATGTGTGAACTATTGTGATGTATAATATCATCATCAACAGCCTTTACTAGTCCACTGCTGGAAATAGGCCTCTCCTTAGGAAAGAGGATGATAGTATAATGCTGGTTTATTTGTTTTATTTGTTTAATTATCTTAACATACATGTACTAAGGCTGGTTAGATTTAAAAAAATGTATTGCATATTTAGCTAGATATATAAGCAGCCATTTAAGATATCAAATTTTAAATCCTTAGAACGTGATGGCAACGTTACATAATTGCATTTAAAAAATTATATTTAACCTGGATGCAAGAAGTTATACGATGTTAATAAAGTTAGGTATGTGTGTATTTTTCATTAAAACATGATCACGTTTTTACCTGTTGATTGATTGATGTCATCAACATTTTCGCCTTCTTAATGTTTTTAAACATATCTATAATATTAACATACTTATTTCAATGAACTTGTTTTGATGTTAACTGTATACCTTATAAATACCGATAAAATATTATTGAAACTGTTTTTATTATTTTATCTTCTAGATCATCATCATCATCATCATCTTGACCTTTTCTCAGATTTTTTTGGGGTCTACTCATTCTTCATTTTTTATAATATTATTTTAACATCTAGAAGTCGTTCATATGTAATTAAATCATTGTTTAAGAAGAAAGGATTTAAGTATATCCATACTTATAATATAAATGTGAAAGAGAGTCTGTTTGTTTGTTACGCTACACCACTAAAAGATCTTAGAAATTCTTTACCGCTATAACCGACATACACGCGGGCGGAGCCACGTGCAAAAGCTGGTCTATTATATAAATTGGTTACTGGACTTGGACTTCCCAGCAACGGACAGTTTAAGTTACAAATAAGCAACTCAACCAATACTAACGCTCTCCAATTCATGAATTGGCCCTTACCTTCTATCGTCTTTGCCTTTTGTTCAGAGTATATTGTAAGGTACCTTACAATATACTCTGAACTATTCAATGTTTAATTACCAAAATTACGGTTGACGGCAATAAGCATACCCCCAATATCCCTAAACGAGTAAAACCAATTTTTATTTAATAAAATGTGAGTATTTTCTAAGCTTTTACCTAGGTACCTCTTCCTACCTACCTACCTAGAAACAACTTCTTTCACCTTTTTATTTTATTCTTTCACAGGATCACAAATACAAAAACGAAAACCAAATCCAGTGGAAAAAGCTAAACTTTTCTGGCCGTCTCTACGTCCATCCCACTACAGCGTTGGGACGGGCAACATCCAAGTTCCTTTGACATTCAGCCTATCTGGACTCTATGGTAAATACGCACCCGGTGCGGTGGGAACTGGTATTATAGGAAGCAGTTATGGCACCATATCTGATATTGGCGGTACAGCAATTTCAACATTGGCTGGTAATGGCTATGGAAGTTACCGTACATACCCTGGTTTAAGAATCTATGGTCGTGAAAATGGACCAACTTGGAGCGGTTGGAGCAACGGTAAATGGGGCCATTATGGCAAAGGATAAACATTCGTACCTTTTAGAAATTATATCAGTATTGAACAGTGGCTGACGGAAATATAATTATTTTATTACGAAAGGATTCGTGTTTTACTTTACCAGTTACTTAATCATTATTTTAATCCTTTTGCGTTACGCACCTACCGTTTTACCGTTACGTATACAAGTACTTCCAATATAGATTTTGTCTCGTTTAGGTTGTAACGTAGAATTAACTTGTGTGACTAGTTTTAAAGTGAACAAAAAAACTGTTAATAAAAAAAAAACTTTACTTAATAACAAATTTTAAAGTTCTGCTATTCCGTTCCGCTTTGAGTCCGTTTTATGTGTGTTTGTAAAGTCCCAGACACAGAATGTATTCCTAGTGTGGGAGTTGTCTTTTAAAAAAAACATCGTATAATTTTGTAGATACGAGTATCATGTCTACATAATAAAACCTGATTGGTCAATATTATTTAGTACGTTTAGTGGTTTACTACCTTTACAGTTGTAAAACATAAAATTACAGTAATTAAGGCAAATCAAACGAAGCGATGTATCAAACAGAGTACTTTTCAAACATCAAATTCGACTTGGTTATAATGAATAATATAATTAGACGATAAAAACACCTTAACATACGGCTACTCCAGGACATGATCAATAATTAGTGATCATATCGAAAATTAGTTTTTGACGTGACAACGTCTTATAATTCGATGGAGCCGGCTGCATGCACGAAAAAACATGACTCATGCGGCGTTACCTCGTTTTGAGGCGTTCCATTTAAGGCTTGAAGTGCAAGCGAGAGCGCGCAACGAGCGACAAAGAGGCACAATCGGCCTCCGCCTTCGGCAGCGTTTGACATCTCTCTCTCTCCTACTTTAGTAAGCGATGCGTCCGCGTGTAACATGTCAATGTATTACTGTATAGCAGCTGGCTATACAATAATACATTTACATGTTTTCGTAAAATGCAACCATTCCATCAGTATTTTCTTATGACGTTGTCACGTTCAACTATCGTCAGTAAACCGACTTTATAGACAACCGATTGTTTTTACGTGTTAAACCCTCGGGCCGTCACCCCACCGGGGTGCCATACGGTGTGCCACTCTGCGCCTGAAATAGAAGAGACCCGGGAACTGCCGTTATTAAGACCGTATAATCTAAGAGGTACCGTTTGTCAGTTCTGACAGATTGATAAATATACTCGTAATACCCTACTTTAATAAGATGTCATAACGTAATTGACAATTTACATATTATACATAGAAACACCCTGACCAAATCGAACACTAAATGTTCATGCACAAAAATGTTTGACTTGAGCAGGAATCAAACCCACGACCTACGGTGTAGCAGTCCGAGACACAAACCACTACGCCGCCGTCCGGCCAATATATACATAAACCAGTATCGATCTTCTAAGAACAGTCATCTCTGTTACTTATTTCCAGAAATACCTTGATGCAAACGTAAATGGTCAATTTAGATCTTCATGCTCTTCGGAGTATTGGTAATATTTTTTTTTTTTTTTTTATTTATCGCATTATAGATTTATTATCATTTTAACATACCTAAGGCTTGATCATATAACCTTTAATTTATCCAATGTTTTTTCTCTACCACTATAATGAGATATAATAATAAATTCAAGGTGATGTCAGCTAAGCTAGGATATGTTTAGTTTGAGTTTTTAATAGGCTACATTTATGATGGGTATCGTCGGTTACCAAATTTAGGTGTATGGGAATTTCGGTAACAGATTTACAGAAACTGTAAGTAAAATAATGTATTTAGGGATAAATAAAAAAAAATGTAGACCTCCTAAATCTCTATGCTGCTCTATCTATTCTATTCTACTGATGCCATGTACAGCCAGCTCTGGACCTTTACTGCAAAATTTTGTTCCACGTATCATCCATGATACTTAGGCCAGATTCCTCTGATACATTTGAAATTCTGTTTAGCAGTTCTTTATGTTTCTTTTTATATTTGAAATGGCAAGAATCTATGTAGTAATGCAAATGTGCGGTAAGAATATTTGATACTTCTTATTTTAAATATATCAAATAAAGTATTTTATAACTTTATTTTAATAAAAACAAAACATGAAAATTTGTATACGACAGCCTACATACCTGATTTAAATTATAGATACTCATTTTCAGGGCATTCCGGTTTGTTTTTTTTTATCAAACGATAAACTATGGAAAAGTCAATAACAATTATATGGATATGCCAGTGCAGATAACTATTAACTTATGAGACACAATAATAACTTCAATGACCTTGCAATGATTAATCATCAAATTACTGCAATGAAAAGGTTTCACAACAATACCACTCCTTTTTACTGTGAAATGACAACTTTAATAACCCAGTTTCCTGTACAAATTTAATTTAAATACTCAAATCTATTGCAAACCATCACTTTATGACGATGGTCGGTACCGTAATCCTCCTGTCACTGCTGTCTTCTTTAGTGACATGCTCTGGGGAAGGAAACATCCGCATACTGGAAGATGAAATAGCCGTGGCCCTGAGAGCATGCACATACCCAAACGATAATACAAACCAAAAAGAAGTAAACAAAAAACGCCAACGACGCTCGGAAAACTTGGACGATGTATCACCAAAAATAGATGACAACACGAAACAATTCAATCACTACAACCAAGAGAAACGTAATAGTGATAGACGTGATCAGATACATGTATTGCACGCTACAGACTATAATAACGAGGGATATGGCAGCGGGAATGTGGGGGAGAGACTGTTGACGTCCGTCCCGAAGTCAGCCATCAGTGGCAGTGGCAATGGACATAGGAGTGCGGCCAACACTGATAAGACAAAAAGGAGCGACCCATTGCTTAATACAGCTGATACGGATCAGGTATAAAAATCTGTATTTTAATTCAACTGTCTAAAAGATATAGAATAAATGAATAATTATAAAAACCATTTTGAAGTCAAATAAATGATAGGAGAACACATTTTCACACGTAGAAAAAACGTCTATTAATTTTAATTGAGGCTTCTCGTTCTTTTTAGATGTGGACGTTATGTCTCATTGTGTTTGAAAGGGGAATGCCCACTACCTATAGACACTTTGGCCCTAGGTGCACACATATAAAAGCATATGGAAACGATAATATACAATTTAAAGAATGAAATGATTAAGGAATTGGTATTAAAAAAAGTCGGGATTTTTAAGATATAAAATGATTTTAATTTTCAGAAATAACTAGTTTTTTTCTTATTCATCATTTTATTGTTATTCTCACATACAATATCAAGTTATATGTAGTTGTTAGGTATTTTATGATCATGCATCATTTGTGTCATACACAATTAGTACATCATCCAGGAATTGAGCCGGAGGAAAAAATATTATTTGATGTCGTGCCCAACCTAAATACCATATTACTGTCATTATATGGGCACAACATCCTACTGTTCGACGGCCAACAATACAGTTACAACAATACGTTTTAATTGCACTTCTGCCAGAATCATTGCCACTAATTAAAATATATATAAAATATATTTTTCGACTGATGTGTCGACTTGCGATTCTAGCCTTAAGTAAAGAGCAGTTAGGACTAAGGTGTATTCCTTCCATAATGCAGCTCCTATGGTCATTGCATATTTCTATGTGGTAGCAACCATTAGCTTTTATATACTCACCCTAATAGGAGCGAGCTTGCTTTAATTGGTATGTACCACAAGCAATTAGTACTAAGTCGCTGTAAGTTAATAGGAAATTCCCTAACATTTTCGGAGCCTACGTTTATATTTCTAAAGTCTGCCCTAGCTCTTTTAAAATAAATAAATAAATAATATTAGCACTAACATAATGAAATCATAATAATTACCGAAAATCGAATAATATAGCTATAAAATAATGGCTGTGTTTGGCAAAAAATAGCGCTAGGAAGCGCTTATGAACGCTTACTAGCGCTGACACAGTTTTCGGCCAGGACACGTTTGCTAACTTCAGTAGCGCTGACACAAACCGCCATTTTGCTTATTTATTTCGTTTGTTTTAAAAGTAGAATTTATAAGATGTTTTGTGCAATTAGTTTCAAGTAATATTAAAATAAATAATAATGTCAGTCCTAAAAATAGTAAAATATATGTGTCATTTGACAGCGCTTTCCGCTTAGCGATCGTCATTTTGCTTACAAGCGCTTCCTAGCGCTATTTTCTGCCAAAAACAGCCGACATCATAAATAATCGATTTTTTGAACGAAATTAGTAATTGGGAACACTTAATATTTTGCCAGACCCCAATGAAATACGGATTAACGTAATTTCACTTTTATCTTTTCGGTACTTTTATTTTCTGTTTAAATGTTGCAGACCTGTCAGGATAAATGAATACCCCAATTAATAAACAGAAAATAAGATGTTTTTTTCTAACAAAAGCAAATTGTTGTGCGTTTTATGGCCGAAAATGGGCATTCCCCTTTACATAATAACACATACATCCCTAAAAAATCTGAATGGTGGGACTTACAAGCCCATATCTCTATTATCTATATGTTCTTCTCTGTCGTGTCGCTCTTGGCAGAGCGGTCGTGATAACATTGAGATGTAAACGTCGGCGGTAAAGGTGAACGCAGGTGGAGGACCCTTCGTACAATCTCCCGCCATCTCTCCTCGTTAGCAGACTGTAGGAAACAATCAGACACGCTGCTTTCCATTGCGGATTTCACCATGTGAGTGCAACGTATATGTGCCCTGCCGCGGAATCTGATTCCTCCACCTTTCCCTGCACTACCAGTCACACTGTTATACAGCACATTATAATGGGCACAATCGTCTGCAAGTCAAGTATCCGAGGTGTCTCGGGATCCTTTTCTAGAACCAAGTAAGCCAGTAGGCAGCAGTAGTTCTCTAAGATAACCGTATAAGGTTATTAAACTCTAAAAACCTCATCATTCGCAAAGATGATCAGACAATTAAATGTAATTAACAGATGCACATAAATTCACGAAAAGTATCATTTATATTTTAACTTAATTTTAACTTTAACATAATAACTTTTAAATTTGTTTATGGTGCGTGACGCTTTTTTACCATATTTAATGGATTTATTTACTTTGTTTTGTACGATATTATTATCGTTCGTGGTTTCTTCTTGTTAGGGATTCCCCTACATCTATCTACACAAAAATCTTTTTATATTCTTGTATGTGTTAGCCTTATCGACGTTATTACGACTTTCAAACTTTCAAGAAAAGAGCGTACTCGTTCTTCAAAGGCCTCCTCCTCCACGGCAAGACTCCTGAGTTGCAGGCGCTCATGGGTGGCGATAGTCACTTTACATCATGTGACCCATCATATTCCCGTTAGTAGACCGCACACAATAGTGGTGTCTCTTATTGGAGTTTCATGCAACAAATGTCAGCTGACGAGTTTCAAGGCACATTTAAATTAACGCGTTGTCGTATATAGGTAGAGCATATTTTTAAATTTAATTTAAAAAATAATCAAAAAAAAATAATGTGTGGCTTTTTTGTATTAATTAATATCACCCTTTTTTTTCTGTGCGGCAATCCCCTCGGATACCACACCGGTGGCAATGTCGGACTCGACTAAAACCGCACGCCGTCTCAGGTACCAGTAGACGGGGAACCAGGTGTGAGCGCGTGCCTCGCAGCGTTCTAAAGAGTTCTAAACCTCTCCCGGTCCCGCTCCGCCATCTCCTTCGCAAGCATAACTTGCTCGCAGAAGGAGACGGCAGAGTTCCACGCACCCTCGCTAGGTTATCGAGCGAGAGAACACCCACCCCGATGACCGCCACGAGGTCACGCCTCTGCTCCACCCACGCCGGGCATACTGCCAGCGTGTGGAGAGCCGTGTCCACGGTCTGACCATCGCAGAGGTGGCACTGACAAATTAGACACAGGTCATCCCCGAAACATCCTTTTCCAGTAATCACCTGCGTCAGTCGGTATGACAGGGTCCCGTGATGCCTCTCGAGCCAATCCTCCATAACGGGTCTTACCTACCGCCGCAATGACGGCGTGCCCGAATTAATATCACCCTAAGCAGTACTTAGTAAACAACCAGAAAAATGAATTAAATTATATTCAATCGTATGTAACTACTCATTTTATTTTATTTATTGATCGGTAGATACACCGTCAAGCCCACAGAACAGTGAATAAACATCAGATGATCAACGGTAAATCAGAAGAGTTCCATTGTCACACATAAACGATAAATAATATTTGACACACAAAAACTTTTACGCTTATTCGTCCCACAGGATTTATTAAATATAAATAAGTACTAATGTTAAATGTTACTTATTAATGTTACAACCTTATTTCTTTTTTTGCTATAAGGTAGCGTTTCACGCGAGCCGGATTGTTCTAGAGGCGGTTCGGCAAGACATCGTAGTGATATAGTACTTTCGCCATTTGTCGAAAATAACTACGAGAATAATTTTAAGTAAATTATTTATTAAACACACTCTGATGTCACACATTACTTTTCATGAACATTTTATTGTAAAATAAAACTAAAATTTTATACAAAATATGTTAAATATTCATTAACTATAAAACAGAATTAAAAATTATGATTGAAATATAATTTATTTAAAATATTAATTGACGCTGAAATAAAATGTATTTACTGTATTACATAATTGCTGTTTTGTGTCTTTTTGTTCATTTGAATTTTGCAAAGTAAAATGCATTCCAATAGTTGTGTATTTTTCAATAACGCATTTTATCAAATCGAATAAATGATTTGATGATGGGTATTCACCTATTTGACCAAAATCATCGATAACTAGTTACAATATTGAAATGTCGAATGAATTGTAATAAATTTCAATATACATATATAAGATTGGCTACATCCCTATCGCAATCAAATATCAACTGTCTTTATTAAATATTTTCGTGCAAAATGTATCGAAATATTCCTGCAGGAAATGTAGTTCACTGCGAGTTCTCGTGGTTAGGGGAAGGTGGCCCAAAACGGGTGGGCCGCCCAAGACGGGTAAGCCCTCGTATATTGTTGTATCAAGCATAAGTGTCAATGTGTGCTTGTGTCGGGAGTTGTCGAACATTGACGAGTTTCGATCAGTTTCGCTCAGGCGCCGGAGTCGCGTAATGGCGTAGGTGTGTGCAACGAAAGTTTTAAAGTGATTTTGTTGAAAAAATTCAAGGTAAGTGTCTCGTAATTAGTCGAAAACGTTTATAATTCTCATATTATTAGTAGTACCGTTTCATTCAAGCACTATCTAACTTTAATTTAAGATAAAAAGTTTGCCCCATTTACCTTTCATTTTGAGGTCATTATTAATTTACAAAAAACATGTGCTCTCGGGCAAAACGGGTAGGGCAAAACGGGTACATATATGAGAGCAGCTAGTGCGCAAAATGTTATTTTTATTTTTAAATCAACTGGAATATGGCCTAAAAATTGTCATATATTTGATGAGTCAGACTTTTTGCAATCTACTTTGACGGACCGCCCTGAACCTCTAATTGTGCATCCCAATCTGCACTTCCACATGGAGAAACATCTCGTATCTCTTGACTCTGACCGCACTGTCTCTCCATCTGTTTTGGAAAATGAAAACTTTAACCCCATCGATGACGTGACTGCAACTGTTGTCACTCAATGTCTAATAGAAAAAAATCTATTCCCTGCAGAAATTCAAATGCCAAATGCAGATGAACAGGCCTCCAACCCCATCATTGTCGTTTCGTCATCAAATAAAGACGTAGAGAAAGACATCAATCAGATGGCTGCCCAGGATCCATTAGCCGAAAACGTCATCCTTTCATGTTCTACACCAGTGAAATCGATTTCTCTTGGACCAATATCTTCGCCATCAGCATCGTTGGTTCATGTAAAACCTGTAGACATTAGACCAATGCCGAAACTGAGCCTAAATAAAACAAATCGCAAGCGGAAGATTAAAAAAGCTGAAGTGTTAGCCAGTACACCAATAAAAGAACAGCTAAGAGAAAAGGAAGAAAAGAAAAAACGTACAAAAGTTGCTGAAAAGAAAGCATCTCTGACGGCAAGGAAAGTTGGCAAAAACATCAAAAATATGCCTTCTACCAGCAAAACAAAGAAAGGTAATACTAAAGGTACGCAGAAAAAGTCGGAAAGAAAATATGTTTGCTTGGTTTGTGATGACCCTTATATGAATCCACCTGGAGAAGACTGGATCAAATGTGGAGACTGTAAAGAATGGGCTCACGAAGCATGTACTGCTTATTCTGGTATAGGTTCCTATTTTTGTCAGGAATAGTATTTAACTTTGAATCTACAACGTTGATTATTATGAAAGTTTTAATAATTGTTTCTATTTTCTTTATAAGTTTGATCTCAATAATAGGTATCTCTAGACTGATTAAAAGAGCATAAATATAGTTTTGTATCTAATGTTATTCATAAAAGTTAAAGATTATTTTACGTATGTATAATGTTATGTGACTGAATTTGTTATATGCTAATTGCCAAAATGTTAAATAAGGTTCAATTATTAGCTTCCTGCCTTTTATAATTATGATTATAGTTTATCTGATCATGACACTTACCCGTTTTACCCTAGACTTACCCGTTTTGCCCAAAGGAGGTTACCCTTTTTAGGCTCATATGCGGGCAAAACGGGTTTTTGGAAAGGATTTGTATTTTTTTTATTAAATTAATATTTGATAAAATATATTTTCAAATAGTGTTTTATTTTCAAGTTCGATAAATACCCTATCTTATAAAATAAATTCAGCTAATTCCTAACATGATTTAACACTTTTTTTTATCTTCGTTCTTAGCTTACCCGTTTTAGGCCACCTTCCCCTACAATGTATTTAGTACTCGAATTTGAAACGCAATGTATGACTGTTTAAGTAAATTAGATAGTAACGGTTTTCTATCTTGTACTACATAATACTCGTACTTTGTGATTTTTTGTCAATATTACTTATAAACAAAAGTTATTACACTTACCGATGATATGATATGAAGCCTTTGCGATCATTTTTTTTATGTAGTTGCGTTCCCGTACGAATATTTTCAGAGATTCAAGCACGCTTGCTCGTAACTCCGGTGAACCTGCCTCGCCTACATCGCATTTCTAGTTTATTCAATGTTCTGTAGTCAAGCAACCATGTTACTCTTTTGTTATGACGACTTATGTTGTTTGTTTCGCATGTTTATAAAACAGAAAAATTAAAATGTATTAAAACTACAATTAATAAATTAATTTCTTACTAAAAATCCACTGAAATTATTTTTAAATGAGTGGTAAGGAAAAATCTTAAAATATTCCAGGTTTCTATAACAGAGACAAAGGGAAAACTTATTTAAAATATTCACTCATGCGTTTTACTCAGTTTTTCTCATTGATGTGTACTCAGGTAGATTCACGCGGGATTCCTCGGGAGGCAGAGTTGTGGAACAAAGTACAGTCTAGTGTAACATCCCAACAATAGCGATCCGCACTTAGAGATCAAATAAGAGCATGCTTTCAGGAGTTACAGACAGGTATTTTCTATTTGAATAAATGAGTCAAACGCCTAAAGCAGTATTAATTAAAACGCATTGTATGTCCCCAGTTCCAGTTCCCTGGGGTACCGAGCGAAAGATCTATTATCGATACCGCCCCCGCTGTCACACATACTTGTTGGTGGAGCCTCTGTTCAGAAGACAAAGGCCCATCGAGAACAGTTTAATCGTGTTTCAACGTGACAGCCTTCTTCCTCACAACGATTATATGCTATTACCTGCAGTGTCATTCATTACCTTTGGCTACACCGACGTCATCTGCTTTTTGCTGAAACCTTTTGCTTGCCGGTTATGGTTTACCGTCCATGCAAGATAGTGTTCCTTACCTCTATCGACCATATTATCCTAGTGCGCTGCGCGCATAAATTTGACAAATTTTCTTAACCATTTTTATGCGTATTGTCTACAGAGGCTGAAAATAATGGATGTTCTTATTCTAACAAACTGGAGCGCTGTCTAATGCTTCGTTTGTCTGACCGAAAAGGAGACAAACAAGGATCTACTCAAAAACCTACTTCTACAAAGTAAAAGGAAACTAAATTAAGTAAATCAGCGCCATCTGTGACCTGCGACATACAACGCGAGGTTCTGTCCTAAGTTTAAAAATTATTTTCTCATCTAAAAAACTCGAAATTATATTGTAGATTAATAGACTTGTAAGTCTTAAGTTACAATGCAATGATTTCTTATCCCTGTAAAATGTAAGTGATATCCCAAACGCCTTTTCGGGTTTGCCCAAAAATTTGTAAAAATAAAAACATACATACGTATAGGGATTACCTATTAAAAACAAAATATTATAATAAATACTTTAAAATGTAATATACCATTTTATTAAAATAGTGTAGAACTTTATAGCAAATCCGATAAATATTCTAAACAACCAAATAGCCGTTTTTTTATCTATGGCTCGTGTGGTATTATTAGGTGGCTTATACTCTTATACACATATAACTGTATATTTTATGAATTAAATTTTATTATTTTTTGTCCCCAATGTGCCTGTCCCAGTGGACTCTCCGATCACAGGACGTATGTGTGCCCCGGCCTCTTCGTACAACTGCAGTCTCAGTTCCCTTTCCCCACCCGAGACTCGTTCTATCCGTTTTCCTTACCCCAAGTTATCTTTCTTTGTTCCGTCTGAAAAGTATTACATTTCCGCATGGGGGTTGGCAACAGTCAATAGGCCAGCCATAAGAAAAAAAAATTTTTATGATCTGCAAATATTTGTTTCGGAGTTTGGGTGTTTTCTATGTATACCTAATATGTATGTATTTACCAAAAAAAAGTATTAGAAGTATTCTATCTGTCAATCTAGTTTTCATAGTACAAGTTTTGATTAGTTTGAAAATAGATGGCATTGTGTCAGATATCCGAAATATGATTATTATAATAAATAAAAAACAAACATGGTCGCCTGGCACATCTCAAAGGCAGACTCCTTTCTTCTTACTGTTTTAATATCATTGTTGTTATCATTGTTGACATTTACAATAAGTTTGACCAATGGTCTCAAACCTAAGAGTCTTTAATTTGTTTAATCGAGCTATATTTGCATTTGTTTATTTACAGTGAGACACAACAGCCAAACATGGTTTTAAATTGCAATCAAATACTATTAGCCATAGATCTACTCTTGTTTTAATTGCACTTACACCTAGTTGTATGTTTTTATTTTTATACCATTATGGAAGAAAGATTAACTTTCAAGACAAGAAAAGTTCGATTCTCTATGGTAGAGGAAATTCAAACAAATTGTGGTATGGTTTCAAATATATTAAACTTGCGAGTTCTAATTTCTTCATCATAAGTACAATACGACAGGGTATCCTGGATAGGAGAACGGTTGAGGGAAAAACACAACAGGTTCGTCTAAACTAACGTTCTTTAACTCATGCGGAAGAATCTGCTGCGGTAAAGGAATTTCTTCACTTACAGTCTTAATTTGTACTATTCTCTCTGCTTGCTGAAATAAATTATATCAATACAGTTCTTGCAAGCTAAGCTTGACAGACTGATGCCCAGGAGATAAAAATAGTAGGTATGTTAAGAAGCATTTATCACATATTTTCGGTCCAAGTAAGGCAGAGTGGAAAGTGGAAACCCAATAAGCACTTAAAAGTATAACGCCTCTTAAAACGCTCGTAACGTCAACGTCAAAACCATCGCGTCAGTGTAACAATCATAGAGATATAGGTAAGCATACAGCAAACAAGATCACCAATCTTACAATATAGGCAACGAGAGAGATGAATAATAGATAGTTCCCTCTATCTTTCTAGTCGAGCTCTGTGGTTGTTCAAATTTTTATTCTCCCGCCTGTTCTACGATCAAAGCCATGCCCACTTCACGATAGCGAATCGCAGCTGAGCTAAACACAGACAGAGGGAACTATCGGGCATCCATCTATCTCGTTACCTGTATCGCTTCCACTTACAGGCAGCTGTACCCCATGTTCTCTCTATGCTAATATCTCTATGATAACAATATAATAAAAATAACTGCTGAAATCATACTTACACTACTTGAAAAATATTCATGGAAATATATAAATATTATGAAGAAATAAAACTTCTTGAAGTTTATCATTATAGAATAAGTCCGCAAATTTAATACTTTAGTCTTAACAAATGTATTTTCGTTAACTGGTTTGACAAAGTAAACTTTGAATAAGGAAAAATGTTTGTTTAGTGTATTGTAGGAGCTAAAATTGAAAGATTCAGGGTATTGAGTTGTATAGGTGCTCGCTTGTTGCACACTTTAGGTTGAGCTTGGATATGCCTTGTCCACCTACATAGGTGAATCAATGATTCACATTCAGTGATTGATAACCGTTCCTGTAAAAAGTAACATATTTTTTAAATTTAAACAAAAGTAAAACTTATTTGATAGGGAAAGTTTTACATAAGTTATAGGAATTGAGTAGTGAAAGGTATGCAACAGTATCCTACTTGAGCTATTGCTAACACTACCCAAGCATCTCCTTCTCCTTCCATTCCCTTCCCTTGTTAATTAATGTTTAGAAGTATCGGGCATATCAAGATCAACTCAGGCATATCAAGATCAACCCAGGCATATCAAGATCGACTTGGGCACATCAAAATCGACTTGGGCTTATCAAGATCTACTAGGGCACTCCATGATATAGCAACATTTCTTGATTTGCTTGCCTAATGCCCCGCATACGGCGTGATATATTTCGATGTCGTTAATCTGTCTGACTTTAGATTGAATATTCATTCGCTAAATAAAACTGAATTTTCGTTACCTGCCTAGGCATATATCGATAGGCCCAATTTAACTATCAGCTCACAATACACATATGGTACTTTTATCACGACCCTTGCACCACCAAACACACAAAATAATAAAAATAGTTGAAATAGGCCTGAACTATTTTTCTGGAAGTAATACAACCCCCTATAGATTAAATATACACACACATACGGAACTTTTATACTTAACTAAATTACACAATTTTTTTTTTAGAATACTTACAATTAATGGATATAGTACATAATATGCAGCAATATCTGTAACAGTCAAACTCTGCCCAGTTAAATAAGTGTTTATTTCCAAGGCCTTATTTATGTCCTGAAAACGAAATCAAATAAAAAATTATAACCATGTAACTGAATAGCAATAAAACTTCTGTTTTTTTATTATAATCATAAACGTGAAACCTTGTGGTGTGTTCCTATATAAAAATATGAATAATATGTAATAAGTATAATCTACACTTTTGACAGTAAAATTTAGTATCAGAATTAAATTTCAGTAAAATTTTATATTGCATACGCAATATAAAATTTTACATTTTTCATTTCTTAACTCCAAAAAAAGGTCAAACTCATAACCTCTCAGGGAAAAACATGCACCTATTAAATGGTAATCCATTAAAATAATTATTTAATTTAATCACTTTAGAAAGAGGACATTATTATATTTATACTTAATAATATTAAAGGAGATACATTACAGTCTGGAATAACACATAGACTATTCATCCTGGAAATCTACATTACCATACAACACAACTGCTATACTAAGCTGGTTAAAAATTTAACTTTTTGTTAACTGCCTGAGGGTAGCTCTAATGTTCAATAGACATATTCACAAAAATATTTTGTAGTGTCAGTGCATATTTCAATGGAACTCTAATTTCTGTCAATTCTCAAAATTTATCTTATTTTATTTGCAATTTACATTTATCAAAGTATTGAGGGATTGAGGGATGCCTTTGATTACGAGTTATTATTGTTAACAAACATTTTTTGCTTTAGAAGAGCTGTTACTGTGACATCAAAAATTTGATGAACTGTGTCAACAGAAAAACAACACAGATGCTTTTTCGTTATTCAAAGACTTGGTGTGAACTCAAGGACTATGTGAGTAGCCATTATTTTTGTTTTATGGTTGTCAAAAGTGTCTTCCAGTACCTTCACCACTTGATGGAAGAAACTTAAGAACTATACTTTCAACTGACAAGTACATTTCAATCACCACATATGTATAATTAAGCTGCACTCAAAGACATTGACAAATACAAAAACTTGTAAAAAAAACAGTTTAGATTCAAGATTTTATTGTAAACATCTTAAATTTGAAAATTTTAATTTTTTGAAAAATAATCTGTATAATGAAAAAGTATTTTGAAACAATTATTTTAGGCTAATAAATAATTATTTTCCAATAACTTTTTAAACCTGCACTTAGTGTACCTACTTCTAAAAACAACTCAGGTGGTTTTCCAACATACAAATGTTAATGAGGAAAGGACTAACTGTTTCTTAATTAGGCAAGTAATGTAACAAGAAGTAGTTTCTTTTTTGTTTTGTGATCTTCGTGTCTAACTGCCATGTTTAATATTACTATGAAGTTGTCAAAATTCATAAAGTAATTAAATGCATTGCCATGCAAGCGCAATCTGTAATCATCTTTAAAACTATGATACATGATCATTAGCTGTCACTGTAGTCTTACTCAAGGACGAAAATTAGTGTTTGTATCTATATGTATTTATCCTTTGATGTATGTTCATCAAGTTCATCAACAGCCTGTAATAGTCCGATGCTGGACATAGGCCTCTCCTTAGAAAGGAGGTTTTGGCCTACTATACCACGCTGGCCAGACGGGTTGGTATAGGGTTTGTTTCAAGTTTTCCATCTCTCTGCAGTGCTGTTGTCTTGCGTAGTTTTCTCCCTCAGTCGACTTTTACGACATCTAAGGGATGAATAGGGGTGGTGACATTACATATTCTTAATCCGTCACCACACGGACGGATGTATGTATAGTACTTCAATATATGGAATAGTAATGTTTGTATATGATGATGTATGATTTATTTCCTAGGTTAAACATTATACATATATTAAGTGAATTCCTTTATTTAAAGTAGATGTGCCTGTGCCAGTTAAAAATAATTTCATTCCCTCTTAAGGTTGTCTGGAAGATACTACTTTGTACATTATTTTTGCTGTAAATTTTAAGTTAAAATATATCTATGAAAACCCCGGTACACATAAAAAGTATAATATATTTATAATTTACCTTCAAAAAGCTTTTGGCAAACATTGGATTCACAGCGGCTTGATTTGCATACATGGCAATATGCTCTAACCACTGATAACTTAACAGCATCTGTTCCTGACTTAAAATAATCCCAGCGTTAGTCACCAACTTTAACACTATACTAGCAAATCCTTCCACATTTTGCTTATTTAAAACAGTGGTAAGAACCTGAAAGTAGATTTTATATGTGTGTGTACATACATTTGATTTACATATTCCATGTTCTATTTGACGATACTTACTTTCTCAGTATTGTAACAAACTGTTCCAACCGGCGCATTGTAATATCGCCCAACAGATTTTATTACTTCTACGTTACAAGCAGTCATTGCTTAAATATATTTTGAATATTATTAAACGGCACAAGTTATGACTTAAAAGTTTGCAATAAAGGTAACAGGAAATTAATGTAGATAGGTATTTTTATTGTAGGTTAGTATTTTATGAAGAATAGAGTCTAAAGAGAGAGAATAAGCTAAATAGAGATTATTTACAATCTGTAGTAATAAAATAATGTTCACCAAATTAGCAAACAAGCAGCAGGCTAATATTGTACTCTGTGGAGACATTACCACAGATTACAATTTTGGCAATGTTGCAAGCTACATAGGAGGTGAATGTGACTGACATGGCAATACAGCAATACGGCACTTACCTATGGCAAATGGCAGACAGTGATCTAAAATAAAATTCCTATATATTATATTAACACTCTTGACTCACAAAAATACACTCATCTATAATATATTGTATCCTGGATAGGTAAGGCAGAGGTGTATTCAATGCCCATTTTTGCCAACTATATTTTAGTCCCACTTACATATTGATGTCAAGCCCGTTTCCTCTTCTCTTCTACAGTCGCTTGCCGTCATCCACAAACTTTAGAAGAGAAAAGGAAAGGTAGATCAGAAGATGAAGAAGGGACGGCAATGGCAACAAAGGTGTATTGTTTATACGAATTGGGAATAAGCGATAGCTCGAGCAGGTGAAACACGCATACCTATAACTCGGATTGGCTATTGCTGGAAGTTGAATAATAATAGTTTAATGTGACAAAGATTTTATTCATTTGTGATTTCTATTTAATACTAAATTTTACGCCTTACGTTAGAATTAACTATTCGATATAAATTCATCTATTGTACATTAATATTTTTTTAAATAAATAAACAAAATGTATTTGAAACTTTATTCAGCATAGGCACATACTTCTGCTTTATACTGAACAACAACGAATCTGTAACTTATGGTTTTTTGATCGAAATTTCTTGAGACATCTTTGTAACTGAATTATTGCATTATATAGTATATTCTGTGATCACCCACTGCTCCACCTCGCCTCGTCCGACAAGTACAAGTGGCGCGCAATGGGAGAGGCCTATGTCCAGAAGTTGACTGCGATAGGCTGAATATAGTATACTAACTATCATATCATGACTTTCTTAAACTAGGCTGAAGTCGGATTTCAGTCTACAAGGACTGAAATGACAAAGTTTAAGTTCGATTATTAACGTGGCCATCAGACCCCTACTATCCAAATGCTAGGTGATATGGAAGTTCTGACACTTTAGTCGAACTTTTTAGGTTTTCAACCAGGGTTTTTGCGAATTTCACACACAACAATCGATGCTACTTTTAATGCTGAGATTAAAGTCGTAACACTTCGTTGAAGGCGGAAGCTAGCGCCAGTCACGTAGACTTTTAACCTATCATAGACAGTAACACAACGTGGCATTTAGGTTTTCACATTTTTAAATGATTATTAAAAAAATTGTACGGAAATACAGTAACGCAAATTTAGAACAAAATAAAAACAATAAAATAGTCACTCAATTAGAGCACCATTGTTAACATGAGTCGCTGAACTGTACGGGCCGGGAATGCTTGACTAGCTTTGGACTCGACTTTGGTTGTCTTTGGTTGCCCTCACAAAAATTCGGCAGTCCGTAGCACATACACGATTGATTCCATATGTCAGTTTGTCCGTAAAGCTAAAGATGCGTTTTGATAGAGTTCCGTGTAAATTAACATCATGTCAGGATGTTCCGCCGATGTGAAGATCACTCTCGGGATTATGGATGTTGATACCGATAACCCAATAAAATTAAAAGACTAATAATGGACTTAGTTTCACATACAATACACTATACAAACTAATATTGTCACTTTTCAAAATAAAATTAGAGGGACTCGTTACAACATGAAGTTTGCGCACACGAAAACATAGTTGTTCACATTATTGCTGTGTATTATGACGAACGCAATAAGACTAAACAATCATAAACTAAACTCATCAATCAAAACTTTAATAATATTAAACAAAAATTCGTCGTGAGTGCATCAACAAGGACACAGAACAGCATAACACTCAGTGAATCAACCCCTACCTATAGTACTAGTGATGCCTACTAACGACAATGAGTGCCAGTGTTGCCCTATTACTCTTAAAAGGGCAGTATTAGAGAAACGGCAACACTAGCACTCAATGTCATACAACAAATGGGCTAATCAGCCATTGAAGAGGTTGTTGATAGAATTTGATTGTTCGATCTTGATTTTCCTTCACCGTCTTGTGATTATTAAGCCATTAATTTGTTAAATTATACTTATATGTAGTTAAATATTGGTGTTAGTAAAATATTAAAACTACAAGACCAAGTGATATTACTTTAAAAAGCCTAAAAGAAAAATAATCTTGACCAGTCCAATGTAATTCAAAAGGTTTTATTTGTTTACTGTATTTATTTATTCGCCTTCATGTTGACTTTATGCCACAATTACTTTCGAGTTACCCCTAACAATAAAAACAATAAAGATGCAGTGCAATGCTTCAATAAAAGGACATTTGCCTTCGGCGTTTTCATTCTATTATTGGTGGTTGTATTGTGGGTGGTATCATCCGAGATGACTAAAGTAAGTTTAAAATGTTACAATACTTCCATTTACATCATACGATGTTCCAATTACGAATAAATTAAAAATGTGTTCAATGATTTGTTTTCAGTATTTGTACAGTGAGAAACATATAGAGAGACCTTTTCTTGTCACTTATGTGAGGAGTTCGTTACTGTTTATTTATCTTTTAATACTGTGTTTCACACCTCCAACGAGGGATCCCTGCCAGCCTGCTGATTATACAGTGAGTTGCATGTTGAAAAAATAAAGTAAAGTAGTTTTTAACTAAATTCATACAACTAGGAGTCACTTGAACTGTAAATCATTTTTACCTGTATTAAAAGTAGAAACTAATTCCTATATATATTAAAGAAACCATTATTCCATATTAGGTAGGTACTTGCTTTCAATGTATGTAAAATGTGCATTCATTTTCATATTGTATATGTGTTAATTAAACTAAAGAGTGAGAAAAATCACAGTAAAAAGTGTGCATAAACTCAAAAGTCATTGTCAATATGAATATAACATTCAATCATCAAGTCATCATCATCAAAAGTCTCTAATAGTCCACTGCTGGACATAAGTGTCTCCTTAGAAAGGATGAATTAGCTCACTATACCAAAAAGTGTACAGCAATAACTAAACTAATAGTACAAATTTTCAATTTGATCTTACAATAATATCAATATGTAATTTATCTACAAAACATTTCTAGTGCTATAGTTGTGATGAGCTAAGTATTTGATGTTTATTGCTTACTTTGGTCATATTGATGACTGAATCTGTTGCCAAACATAGTTCTGTTATGCTGTATGTTTTGGTATATACTACAAACACACTGCCAAACAGACACCACAATAATTATGTAAATTATCATCAGAATGTAGTTTCTAAACGAATAGGTAACAATGTCTATTTGCTTTTTAACACTTTTATTAGCTTGGTATGTATGTATGTAACGGAATCTTTGAATGTAATTTTGACCCACTTCAAAACTTCGAATTAAATTGAAACTTTCCACACTTATCGAGTATGAATGACAATACAATAATTTGATGAATTTGGCTGATCATCTTGAACAGGATCTTTTTAAGGGGTACTTTTCAAGATATTTTATAATATAATAACTTTACTGTTAGATACCAATTTCTGTCAATAAAATATTTTTACAAAAATTGAGATCTAGCACTCCTTGCATTTTTACGATAAAATGCTTTTTCTTTTTGAACTTACAGTAAATTATTTTCTACTTTTTAGGTTGGCTAGTTACAGAAGCATGTTTTGTAGTTTTTTTACGAATTTTTTTAATATGCATGGATTTATTTGAATCTTGACTTCTTTAATATAATAGTTTTAAATGTCATGTCTAATGTCATAACTATTTTACAGCAATTATTAGAACCTATAGCTGAAACTGATGACGAAAATTATTTCAATGAATCAAATAGTAGTTTGGTAAGTGTTTTATTACCTAAGTTATCTTAATTTTTGATAATTATAATTTGTACAACTAGGTCGAACCTAGGAACAAGTTTTCGTCTGCGGTATTTCCGGACCGATACGACCTTCAAGAATCTGCTCGTCTGCCGAATTTAACAAAAAAAAAGAAATACTTTTATAATCTTCTATTTCTAATGCGCAATTTATTGAAGCATTTTAACTTGATCCGGTGAAGATTAAAGGTCTTATATGGAACTTTAATTTTAGGGTGACTCCACCTTTGTCCCTGTCAGAGCTGGGGAGACAACAGACAGTGATGATGCAGCACCTAGAGCTGTCCGGTTTAATAAAGTAGCAGAGGTAATTCACACACCCTCAACAAGAAGCAAATGTGAACCAAAATCCATTACAATGTTATTAAAACTTACTTTTATCAACTGTCTATTTAGTTGTTAGATTATAAGGTGCATAGAAACTTATGAAATGTATACACATTCACAAAGTTTAAACCCATACTTGCATTGGTAAAATAATTTTATACTATTTTTGTTCACTATAGTTAATTAGAATATTTTTTCATATTGAATGTACACATTGTAATTTAACTATGTTCACATATACTTCTAGATGGTGACTAATAATAATATTTTATTGCATCAAAAAAGTATTCTAACTATATTCTAATCATATTACTTATCTTATTTGTGTATCTAAATGTCTAGCTTAAGCACTTACAATTACCACTAAAAACTGTAAATTATTTATCCATATCACAAACATAAAACAAAAGATTAATCATAAAATATGGTATCAACATAAAAAACCACTTAGTAAAATAACAATAATGTTATGTAGCTTTTAAGCCATAATTTCTTATCAGATGACATACTTGATTATTTAAAAAAAAGCATTTTTTTAACCTCGTGTCAGGTCCGCGTCATGTCAGCAGCAATGGCCAGTGAGGCTCTGCTCGCGAGGTTGTCATGGGCCGCTTCTGTACGGGCAACTGAACATGCTCAACGTCGTGCTGCTGCTGCCGCTACCAGACGCCACCTCAGACTCGCACTTCTTTTCTGTATACCTGTAAGTAGGTCTATATGAATTTGGCTGATAAAACTTATTTTATAGCATTGAATACTTGTTTATAAGGGCTGTCTATTAATTACGTCACACAAATTACATAGTTTTTTGACACCCCGCCAATTCTTGTTACAGCTTGTCATATTTGCGAGACTTCCCTCCCTCTCCCTACTGTGAAGTCACATATTGTTTTAATTATCAAGATAACTGTACTTGAAAATAAACGACAATAATTTATAGTCGTTACGCTATCTGGCTTTCTGACAATCTACTTTAAAATGCGATGTACTCATGTCGAGATTCAGTGATACAGCGATCTATATCTATATTGTCGTACCACTGGACTTCTTTTAAATTTTGCACGAAATCAGTTTGTAATACGCGGTGTGAAAAATGCTATGATATAATTTGAGACCACTATAAATTATCAAATTATTAATAATCAAAGTTCATTGAGCCTTGTCCAGAATGCACTTGTTTTATTTTATAATCTTTTCAAATAAACCTTTTCTACAAATATGTTAGTACTAATTATAAGCTTTACATAATAAAAGTTAAATATAACGTAATGTGATAATGCAGTTGACCTTTAAACAAGTGGTAACAGTATTATAAAATCGGTAAAATAAGACATTAATGTTCTGGCTGAGCGCATTCCTTTCACTGTTTTTCAAGTACACCGTGGTCCAAATAATTTAAAAGTACCGCCCATTTGCATTGAACATTAAATCAAAGTTATGTTATTTATTTCAGTATATATTTTTTTAAATATATACACAATCACTTTAAACTCGATAGCCCTCTACTATGTAGGGTTTACCTGTCATTTAGAGTATTATTTGCGTAGGCCTACTATGAAACATTGTTTGTAAAAAAGTTTTTATCTCAAACTTATGATATCTCCGTAAATCGCATATTAAGTCGTACAGAAAATTAAGATTCCGCAATGTAATTTTACAAATTTAATCTAAATTAATGCAACAAAAAACTGTGCTGAAGAAGGAACTTAGGTTTAGGTTGACGAACTATGCAGGTTTAACACGGGTATCGTTTTAAGCAGACAAATGTTGAAATCACCTATGTTTCAATTTCTAAGGTAACCGAGTGCTTCGTTTCCTTAGCGACTATTTGTAATTCTATAGTAACTGCTAAGCCCATTGTAATTAAATACAAATCCTTTGTCTCAAAAATGGTAAAACATATGATCCACTAGGAATGTAATAAAAATGATGATCTCAGTGATTTCATCAAACTGTAGAAGTTTTTTTTCACCGCAATGTCGTCTAGCAACCAGAAATTAGACGGTATAAAAACTGATAATAATAGGAATTCCAAAACTGGAAAATTAAGTGATAATGCACACAAGTTGCTACGTCCTTTTATCGTGTGGGAAACACTCTAACAATATGATAAGAATACATCATGACGTCACGTAATTTTGTCACTTTGTTGCTACAATCAATAACGCATTGTTAGAATAGAATTCTGTGCCTCCTGTGATAAATGATTTATGTCAAGTTGTACCTGTAGTTGAGATTTTTACATAGAAATTAAAAAAAAAATATATGTTTTTATCTACTGTAGTTCCGGGGGTAATTTTGTACAAAGTAATATAACTGGCAGGATTTTTGCAAAAAATATCTTAAAAATAGATGTATTTCAAGTTGTAAACTCTATAAATAACTGCTGTACAAATATTTTTTCGTGCTTCGTGGTATAAGTGCGATTATATTAATTTTTAACCGACTTCAAAAAGGAGTTTCTTCTCAATGAGGATTTTCTGAAATGTTCCACGTGAGATGGCAATACTGTAGCGTCAGGTCCAACTAACTGTCAAAACACTTACATGATTTGTATTATTCGATCATTTTTTTGGTTTATTCATTCTTAAAAACGTTATAAAAGGAATATTGTTTTCTAAAATGCCACAGTGTTGTGCAGTGCCTCTGTGTGCAAATAAAACTTTTGTGCCTCTCTTTTTGAGCTCAATCTTCAGGTTGTCAACCTTTATGTGGCCGTAATCCATAATAAACTCAATAACACTTCCAAATACATCGAATTTCACTAAGAAACTGACAGCTGTTTGGACCTGACGCATACGAAGCGCCGTCTGGTGGCAGAAAAAGTATCGAAAACCCTCATTCGTCTGAATCTTTTCTATGTATGTTCACCGATTACTCGAAGACGCCTGAACTGACTTAGAAAATATTTTTTTGTGTTAAAAGGTATACTTCCCAGGTGGTCCCATTTTCACATTTTATTTATCTGTATATTTATCGTGAAAATATACGTGGGGCATACTTAAAGTCTCTAGATCTGACCACACACCCACTGACCACGCTACAATAAAAGAATGAAAAATCAATGATGAAGTTCGAAAATGACACTCTTTGGGAACTTATTTTGCGCGACTGTCGTTTGTTTTATCATTGTGACGTCCTTACGAAAATTGAGTGTCGCTGTCAAAATTAATTTATTTCGTGAACCTTTTCGTTCAACGATTCTTTATGAGTTTCGTTGTGGTTTAAGTCAACAAGATACTTCAATTGGCATTTGGTGATGAAGCACCATGTCGCAGCTCTGTGTATTCGTGGTTTGGAGAAGTTAGACGTGGACGTGATCATCCCCATGACGAGGTACGTGAAGGTGATGGATACCGCGTGACTTAACGGAGGACCGAAACAACTGCGTGTCTAGTTTAACGACGAACAGTCATTAGCTGTCTATAATATCGTGACAGGTGACGAAACCTGGGTGTACTGCTTTGAACCCGAAAGAAAATGCTTTCCTTCTGAAGATTTGCCGACGAAAGTTAAGAAAAGTAGAAGCATTGGTAAAAAATGGATGCTTCTTTTTTAAACAGTCGAAACAAACTTGAAAAAAAGCGAAATTTACGATTAGTTGATTGTTTAGCATTTTCGCCTGTATCTTTTTTTTGCGCTGAGATAGGCATAGGCAATGCATGAGATAAAAAAAATGGATACAATTTTCTTTAAAATGTTGGGCGGGACAATTTTTGACTGAGTGACAATAGGGAATATGCATGTATTTTTTTTATTTTTTTAAACGATTCTACTAGTTATTACATTACCAAAAATAAATATAACACATCCGAAATATACACCGTTAAGCAAAAAAAAATTTATTAAGATCACTATCATTTTGGGGCAATTTGAACACGTCCATTTTGGCGCGCTTTTTTTGTGACATCAGATTACACTTTCAGACGAATTCGATGTCAACAACGGAGTGAAGTTCACAAAGTTTGTGAAAGTTAAAAAGTGAGTAATAAAAATTGACTTATTACCATGGAAAAGCCAATAAAAACTTATTATAAATATTGTGCCGTTCCTTTGTGCCCAAATAATATCAAAACTGCACCTGACAAAGTATATTCAGTCATTGTGTTGAGTCTTTCTACGTGGGAATTTAATAATTTGACACTGAAAACGTATTAGTTATTAACTTAAAATGAAACAAATAATCACCAGAAACCAAATATTACAAATACACACAACTTGTTGACACTCTTGACAGTGTAGGTTGACGTCACATTTTATTCAACCAATAGCGTTGCGTTTTAGAAATTTGCGAGGGAATCTTAAAAAAGCCCATTTTTGATGATTAAATTTCACTATTAAATTATAATAAATTTCAAAAATAATTGTATGGGTATCTTTTTTTAGCAATAAAAATTACAAATAAAAATATTTTGTCCATTTTGGTGTCACGTGCATATTCCCTATTGTCACAATACAGGTATATGGGTATACAATATTGGTATATAGTAAGGTAACGGCTCTGTACTGAAATCGTGCTCTTCACTGATCTATAACTGAAACGATATATATTTTAAAAGAGAGTTTTTGAAGATGTATAACAAACATTTGAAAGTATCGTTTGAATGTTTATAATTAAATCAAACATTTGTTGTAATTGTCATGTATTACTAAATTATACACTGTATGCGCGGGTTAGCTAAATTCGAGGAGTTTGTAAAACTTGGTTGGCGTCAAGGTAGGAAATTAGAACTGTTAGGAAAAATGAAAGTAAGAATCAGTCCCAACGGGATGGATTGCACGATACCTTATTTCCTGTGCGGAGCAGCATAAAGTCCAGGGGCTAATTTAATAAAAACTTTTTTAATTGAGGAAAACAATATTTTATTCAATAGAATACGAATGAAAACAATATTCATACAAGAGGGATGAAATGCGAAAAAAGCCAGTTTCAAATGGCCGTATCTCGATCAATTTTCATTCAAAAAGATTGTTTCTCGCACCATTTTAAAGGAAAGTTAATCCTCTTTTTTTATATGAAGCATTGCTTATACCTATTTAAGCCTGTACCTTACACAATCAAATAATCAAAAATTTCGCTTTTTTTATGCGTTGTTTCAATTGTTTCGGCATGTTTTTTTGTTAATATTCAAAAAATGCTATTCCAAATGGAAATTTGATTCTCTACAAAAAGTTTCAAATGAGATATATTGAAATTTTGCTTTGTTTACGAGATATATTGAAAAAACCAAAGGGGGTGGGTTTTTCATCCCTATATTCAATTTCCACCCTCTAATTTGAGGGCTTTAAATATGGAACTGAGGACGCATCCGCCTTACAGTCCGGACATCGCACCCTGCTACTTCTTTTTGTTACCAATAATTAAAGTCAAACTTAGAAGCACACGACACGCAGCGTTCGCCTGAATCGGATTAGATTAAAACCATAATTTACCAATTGTATTTCTTGTATTAGGATCGAGTTAAAACAATTATTTTGTAAGTATTTTTAATTATCGAAAATCGTAGTTTAAGGTAAGGTATTTAAGTTCAATAAAGAACAGAATAGAATAGGGATCTTTTGTTGAAGATAATTGTTGATTATCTTTTGTTTTTTAGTCGAACGAGTAGTAAGTCAATTAATTCTTACTGCAACACATACTAATAATATTGCAATTTGTTCATAATCATACGTATATTGAACATCGATCAGAAAAAAGGTTTTTTCTACATTACTATCATCAATTGATAACAATGAAGGAAAAATATTTATCCTTGATGCCCCATGAGGTACAGGAAAGCCATTTTTAATTAATTTGCTTTTAACAAAAGTGAGATCTACCTTCAAAATTGCATTAGCTGTCGCGTCATCCGGCATTGCCGCTACGCTTTTAGAAGAAGGCCGAACCGCACACTCTACATTTAAGCTCCCGGTGAAATGCCATGCCACCGATAATAACAACAGCGTCTGTAGTGTTTCTAAACAGAGCACTACAGGAAAATTGATGCGTGACTGCTCATTATTAGTCTAAGACGAAGCCAGAATGGCAAACAAGACGTCTGTGAGAGCACTAGATAAGACAATCCGCGATTTGCCCAAGAAAAAAATCACCTATGGGTGGATATACAATTCTGTTCTCAGGAGACTTTCGTCAAATCCTACCAGGTGTGACTCGAGGAACACGTGCTGACAAAATAAATACTTCCCTAAAAAGATCCAACCTTTGGCCACACATCAATAAACTTGAGCTTAAAACTAACACGAGGGTTTCATTGTCTTCACGTGAGAACAAGCTTTTTTCAGAGATGCTGCTAAAAGTTGGCATTTGGAGAGTTAACACAAAGTGATGGAAGGATTAATCTAGAAAACCTTTGTGTTTTGATAGATAACATCCAAGACTTGGTCAACAAAGTCTATCCCGACATTGATAACATAAGTTGTAAGACCATATCGTGGTTTAAAGAAAGAGCGATTCTGTCACCAGCTAACGAACAAGTAGATAAGGGAAATAACTTGATTCTTTCATAGATTGATGCGCCGACGCAAATATACTACTCGGTCGATACTGTTCTCGATTTGGAAGAAGCTGTTCATTTTCCTACAGAATTTCTTAATTCTTTGAACCCGTCTGCTCTCCCTCCTTATAAAATGGTGTTGAAAGTAGGTTGTCCCGTTATTTTATTAAGAACCTTGAATCCACCTAAACTTTGCAATGGCACGCGTTTGCTGGTAAAATCACTTAAAACTGTCATAAAAGAGTGCATAATACTCACCGAATGTGGCACCGGAGATGTATTGATTCCCCGAATTCCTCTGATACCATCGGATTTACCGTTCCAATTTAAACGCCTATAATTACCGGTAAAGATATGTTTTGCAATGACCATTAATAAATAAATCGAAGGGTCAAACTTTCAACGTTGCAGGCTTCGATTTGAGCGTTGCGTGTTTTTCACATGGCCAATTATAATATGTCACTCTTTTAAGAGTAACCTCTAAAGAAAACATGTTTGTATTATCTAATGACAAAAAAGCTGGGAACGTTGTATATAAAGACATTCTGTAGTATATTTAGTATCAGCATAGCACCATAAAATTTACTGTATGTCCTATTCTGTACAACTGAAAACAAGTGCTCAATATTACATGGTGATTGACTAGGTAAGACATCGAACACCAAACTAATTTTCATAATATTTTGTTCTAGTGGTTCATATCAAACTACCTATACCGGTTAAGCATATTACACACGAGTACTGGCTCAGCGACTATGTATACGTCAACGGCGGGCGCATTTGCGTTGTCACTCGGCGCTATATTTGCTCAAGTTCCCAACGATCGATTCACGCTGTCCAAATGTATTGCTGTACTACTTACAGCTGCTGGACTTGTAAGTACATTTTCTTTTTACTTTAGATGACAATGATAAACTAATGTAACTATTAAAATATCAGGCAAGCTTATCTACAGGGCTACTTTACAGGGTACTTGATATATTATATAGTAATTACATAGATATTCCACACAATAGATAACATTTAGAAATTTTGGAATTAATTAATACCAGCAGTTATTGCAAAACACAAACTATTATGTAATAGAAAACTTTTTAGCAATCAAATTGTTTACGTTCAGCCTTTAGTTAAATTATAAATTACTCCGAGTATAAAACGATTGCTACTAATATTATAACAACACTAGCGCTAGTCTTTCCAAGCACTTTCTACATAGTTTTTTCTAGTAATAAATAAAATTATGAAAGACGAGTTTAACACTGATATTTTATCTATGATGTATAGTATATTTTTTGCTTATAACAAACATACTTATTTAGTAGGCAAAAATTATAGTGTTTTTATATATATGCTTTCAGGTAGTATTGGGCATATCAGAAAGCCATCAAACAAACTGGATAGCAGTGTTGGCCGCACTAGGCTCAGCGCTGTGTTATGCAATACATTTACTTATATATAGACAAGCTTTAAGAAACGGGGATGATATTAACTCCTCTTTACTCGTTGGTAAGTCAAATGACTTAGAACTTTAATATATTTTCATTTTAGGCAATTGATTATTCTCGAACAGGTATTTTCTCTGTCTCTTCAAGTTAATCTGGATGGCTCTAGGATCTTTTTTCAATTTCGATCTATCCGGACATCTTGGTTTCGGTTATAATTCTTTTCTTATTAGCAATACACTTTTTTATGATCGAACTGACGTCTAGTGTTTGAGGTAATGTAAATATGCGTGCGTGCAGGACTGGTGGGGTGCGCGTGCGGGTGCCTGGCGTGGGTGGTGGGCGGGCTGCTGGCGGCGGGCGGCGTCGAGCGCGCCGACCTGCCGCCGCCGCGCCAGTGGACCTGGCTGCTGCTGGACGCCGCGCTCGGCCCGCTACTGCTCGAGTCGCTCTGGCTCTGGTAACTAGATTTACACATATTTTCCTTTAGTCTCAAAAATATTTAGTCTTGTGCTAATAACACTTATAAACATACCGAACCTTTGCATGCATAGTGTCCTTTCTAATATGTCAGTGGTGTTTTAAATTTTGTGATTAGATACTGAAAATGGTGAATCGAATAACACAGGGCACAGTCCGTGCAGTACTGCATCATTGCGTATAATAATATAATTAATAGTTGTCCTTCGGTTACGTGTGCCACAGAAATTCACATCGAACATAATCATGCGATAGGTACTTTCGTATCTAACGTATAGTAAACGTGCACATGTGTAGGGGCAGATCGTTGACGTCGCCGCAGGCGGCTACGGGGATCCTGGGACTGGCGGTGCCGCTGTCGCTGTGCGTGGAGGAGTGGCGCGGGGGTGGGGCGGGGGGCGCGGGCGGCGCGTGGCGGGGGCTGGCCGCGGCGCTGGCCGGCGCGGGCTGGGCCGCCGCCGCCGCGCACCTCACGCCGGACTTCTCGCTCTTCACCTGCCTCACCGACAGGCTCAGGGCCGCCGAGGGGTTCGCGTCAGTATTGCAAGTTACTCACCATCACACATCATCATCGACAGCCTTTATTAGTCCACTAACGGACACAGGTCTCTCCTTAGAGAGGAGGTTTTGGCCTACTATACCACGGTTGGTATAGGGTGTGTGTCAAGTTTTCCTTCTCTTCGCAGTGCCGTCGACTGCATAATTTGCTCTCTTAGTTGGCTCTTACGACACCCACAGGATATAAAGGGTGGTGACACTCTGTATTCTTAATCCGTTGCCACACGGGTGTTATTTATTAACCGTTTACCGGTAACGTTGCTCCTAAGTGATACGAGCTCAAATCGCTCTTTTAGAATATTGTAAATCGCTTTATAATATACTAATGTTACAAAAGCTAGCCAGGGCAACGCATCTGACTAGCATGACTGTTTAGTCTAGACATTACTGATGTAAACAGGCCGTTCGTCTCTAAACAGATACGACTCTATAGCTATTTGTATAATGATTTTGGCTCTATTATTTTTATCACGTAAGAGGCAAACGGGCAGATATATTCAGTTAGAGGAATTTACTTAGTTTATCACTTATATTATCAGAGTAACTATTATGACTACTTAAACACTTCAACGCACTGTACCAAAGTGTAATAGCCTTTTCTTAGAGTTTTTCTTTTTATTTCATCCCACAGAGTAATACGAAATCTTCCTGACCTCGACGAGCAATCGGAAGCGTTGATGTCGTCGGACGAGCCGACGTAGCGCTACAACACACGCGACTCTTGCTACGAGAGGAACCACTTGAAAGTCTGAGCCGCAATAGGCTTCACAACTTGTCGAAAATATCTATTGAACTGTAAGTGACAATACGACATCCCCCCCATAGTTCATTATGGCGAGATAAAATACGGACACTTGAGCTAGGTTCGCAGATATATTCGTTAAGTTGTGCTCCAATTACTGCATAAATTAGTACCTAGCTAAAACAATCTTACCGACACTTTAGTGACTTCATTCATTCCGTATCGTATTGTATATGCTATTATTTACTATTTGAGTACATCACACGTTTTAAAATATTAAACTTTGATTAAAGGTTTGTGTTATAAATTAACATTTCGTAGATACCGACCTGCAGCGGGCAAAAGCTACAAGAGATTTTTAATAAATTATAAACATATGCAATGTTTCTTATTGAAATTAAAATCGTTACCACCGTGTAAGTATTTCACAAGAGTGTCCAGCGAGAAAATGCGCTGTTTTCGCATATAGCCAGTCGGATGCATGGTCGGATAAATGCACGCTGTCTTGTTTTAATAATTACACATTACAGAGACTAGCCTAATTTAAATAAGCATTTAATCAATTATATTAGGTGTGTTTGCAATAGACGTTTGTAATATTTATTTAAAATTTCTGAATTCGAGTATTATGACGTGTGTGAAAAGATATAGAATCGAGAAAGTAGGTAAATATCGTAATATATTTGTATATATAACTGATGAATTGTTCATTGATGTCAGTAGTTTTGTGTTGATATTGTATTCTTTATTGTAAATCCATAATATACATACTGTATAAAAAAAACTCAGATCTAAATATGAAAGTTAATATTTGTTACTTGTGTACCTTAGAGTAGATAATAATATCTACTGAGTATCTAAACTACTACTCGTACATATTAAGTCAACAATTCCTATATGTTAAGTCAAATGTTTCCTTTTGTTCACTAGCTGTGCCTTTATAGAGATAAAACCTCTCGAGGGCTTATCACACCTATATACTTGTTCAAATAGTTTGTGTGTTGTAGTAACTCAATGTCCTTCAAGCACATCTTTAAATATTTGTGTCTATGAGTTGGTCGAACTAAAATTAACTTTCCTCATTTTCATTGGACATTATAACTAAGCAAATGTTTGTATTAATATAGTCAAGTTGCAGCGCCCTCCTCTTTATCTTAATCATAATGAGGTCTCCACTAAACATTTCACAATTGACATACGCCCTTCTGATACTAAACGACGTCATTTGTACGTGGACACTATTAGAATCATACGACCCTTTCTTACCAAAAAAATGCGGTATTTGTTATTTTCTACTAATTTTCTATTCAGCCTACTTCGATAGACCGACGGCTCCGCAGCATAAATTCGATTCGTGCCGACTGTTACATATTTGTTACATAAATTCATAGAATACCCTTAATTGTATTTGGCATAGGTGAAAAACCACTATTAACCTACTAAAATAATACCCGCCTTATATAATCAACGTTAACTATGTAAATACCTCTGTGCTGTAACTGTTTTGTATACTTTAATTTATCTTGTTTTGTATACTTTAATTTATCTGTTGTATATTGTGTTCTGATCATAATTGACACAGTATTATCTAAGGAAAATATTTTGTGTTATATAAGTAGTAAAATTAGATTTTATATACATATTACTATTTGTTTTATTTATTAATTAACTTTTACACTCCTGTAAACTCACAGATTATTTACGTGAGAAGGAGGATGGGACCCAATACTCAAGAGGATCGGCATATAGCAACAAATTACTTACATTTGATGTGTTCAGCGAAATAATTGTAAAATAGATAACCTTGCATGCTACGAATACAATTTTTTTCAGTTTGCGCAATAGAAGAGGACCAGAGACTCAAAACCCGACTCAAAAAACGCAAAAAAAAAAAGAAGTAAAAAAAGAAACGTAAAAACTTATTGTTTGAATACGATTAGTTGTAGGCTCCGATTTAGACTCAAGAATGCTCCTTTATGCATCGAGAAAAGGTTGGCTAGGTGAGCTAACCAAGCTCCTTCCAGAAGCTCAGAAGCCTCCTGGGCCGTACACAGGCTTCTAGGAGCGATTTTGTATCAGTTTTGATTCACTACTTAATTACGAAGGCGGCCGTTTCTTCTGCTTTTAGTGATCCTCTGCCTCTTGTTGGTTCAGGGCTAGGTGTCCTGTTAAAGTGCCTGCAACCTTTTGTATGTCTAGTCTGCTAAGACTAATCAGTCTGTATGTAAGTCGTTATGAGACTTCAGTAAGCACTAGTTTGGAATGGCTGCAGCCGGGTGAGTTCCTCCACCTCCGGTTGTGTGCTTTACGAGTAGTTCTCTAGCCCAGAATCGAACTTACTTGAAAGGCAGTGGCAGGAGTATGGATGGGCGAGGAGAAAGCTAAATAGAGAATTTACCTATAGGAGTTGCCCGGTCCGGATGTTTTAATATCAGCTGTTCCCGAACCTCGCCTATCTCAGGCGCATAGTAGCTCACAGTGTGGTGTTAGTCGGTTCGATTCCTACACACCGCCCCACCGTAAACACCGATGGGGTGACGGCCCGAGAGGGTTTCCACACGTTAAAAAACCGAGCCGAGCCTTTCCTTGACAACTCATACACGGCGTCATTGCCGTGTGAATTAGTGTGCCCTTTAATCTATTGGAGAAGTACCCCATTTGTTGAGACAAGCTGCTCCAATGCTTGATGGCATACGAAGACATTTTCAGAAGGCCAATTCTCGTAATAAAATTTCGTTCGTATTTTCTTAGTAAAATAATAAAGTATTACTAAGACTAGCAGATTACCGATTCAGTCCAATATCAACGTTGGCTATTAAAAACTTTACTACGAAAATACCTTTTATGACAGTTGTGAGATCGAAAGTTGATCGGAACTGAATTGAGACCGAAGTATTATTACGAGAATTGGCCTTCTGAGGTCATTGAATTGCCCTTCAGCACCTTTAGGACAGCCATGCTGCCAGACAGTATTCGGATGTTATAGTCCTTAATACCAATAGACATGGCCGTTGTGGCGGCATAAGTTAGTGCCTTTCAATTTTAATCTTAGAGGTGTATTGCCTTAAAATTATTTGCAGAATGAAAATTTGGCGCACTGTCAGTACTTCACAAAACTCATACAATTTTTTAGTTGGAAAACAATAAGGTTTTTTTTTTTAAATTAGGGCTCTTTCGAGGTTAATTATGTGGCTTTTTGATGCTACTCCCCAAGCAGAAATGCAGTATCCCAGTATAGACTGGCAAAGCGCGTAGTAGACCATCTTTATAACATCAGGATCGGCAACATGTCTTAAATGCTTAAAAACATACATTAACTTGCGTACTCTACCACATAAACTGTCAATGTGTTGATGAAACGACAAGTGCTCGTCGAATATAACACCCAAGACGACCACTTGCAATGGATGTCTGAGCAAGAGTAGGGCAATTGCAAACATCACTACAAACTCCGTGAGTGTGGACAGTAATTTTATGGTTGTAGTTACTTGTGAAGGAATTTTTAATTTCTAATGTCATTATGTTTGCTTTAATAACATTCACATGTTGAATCCAAGTTGCGATGCCTGATAAGTTTCTTGCCCGGTTATTGCTTTAAAAATCAATGCGGTATCATCTGCAAAAGCTACTATTTTACCACTTTCCAGGACAAGGTCGCACATCCCGTTAACTTATATTAAGAATAGCGTCGGCGGATACTCCCTTGAGGAACACCATATTACACTGGGATTTCAGAGCTAGTGTGTTCTCCCACTCTAGTACACGATTAGTGTGGGATTACTCAGATAGCTCAGGAATAGTTTTAGTTGATTCCCCCGAATGCCTAATATTTCTAATTTGATCCATAACTTGGAGTAGGTGACAGTGTCGAAGGCCTTTGCCAAATCAAGAAAGATTGCTAGGCATTTCTGTTTTTTATCTAGTGATTCGGATTTAGTAAGTTGACAATTAGTAAGGGCATGAACTGTGTTCAGTTTCTCTTTGAGGTGCCTATTCCACAGGAGTCTACTGCCTAGTATTATTCCTAGGTATTTGACCTACTTGGTAAGAGTCAGTTGGGTCTCAAACAGTTTGGGAAGTCTGAGGTTTCTTAGACTACGTTTGTTCGTGAATATGTTCATCTTTATTTTCTCTATTTTCTTAACATTATGTTACGAGTACAATTCTACACACACAAATGATATTATGTTGCAATTCAGAATACAATGTGTTTTATTGTATTGTTATAACGAAGTTAAAATTACTGATCACACAAATACCTAAAACATTAGAACCACACCATTTGTACAAAAAAACAAAAATAAACATACTTCGTAATAAACGTAAACATACGATGTAATTTATACATGTGATTTTTTTTTATAATGTACTGTTTGTTTAATCCACGAACCTAATGGGTTTTCTTACGATTCTGCCGCTGCGTATTGCGTTTAGCGATTACTTCATCATCCCCCACGGGGTTATCATTTAACATATAAGCTGGGTTTAAGCTATTTAACGATATAGAACTAAACCTATTGCCTATTTTAACTACGTAAACTCTACCACGACGCTCAGTTACTGGATAAGGACAGTCGTAAGGGGGTCGTAATGACAGCCGATACGATCTTACATTTACTTAAATCAGGGTAAACAAACAAGGATCTCGAACTTCGGTGAGCCTCTAGCTTAGGTCGTAAACTACTTATAACCTATCTAAGTCCATCTACATATTCTCTCAGAGACATTTCGGTACTCACCTATTCGTAAAATTTTCCTGGTAACTGTAATGTTCTACCGAAAGTAAGTTTCGCCGCACACACACCTGTGTCGCTCCGCGCCGCTGATCTTAACCCTACAAGTACTGCTGGCAGTTCTTCTACCCATGAACTGTTATCTGCGAAGCTTGCCATAAATGACACTTTAAGTGCTCTATGGAGGCGTTCAATCATGCCGTTGCTCTCAGGTCCGGCGTCGTCTGGTCGTCGTCGCTCTTGAACTGTCTATCCTGGTCACTTGTTAGTTTCACAAGACAGCCAAAACGAGCTGCCCAGCCTTGAAATACCATTTTGGAAACAGTTTCTGCCGAAATGTAGCAAGATGGAAGATTGAGATAATGGCTTCTAAATGTTCTTTATGGAAATTTATCCCTTCAGACATGACCAACAAATCGTCAACGAAGCAATATACGAAATCTAATCCATTGAAGACTGTTGTACCCATAAATCTTTGGAATATTTGATCCGCGTTTCTTAAACCGAAAGTCATTTGCAGAAAGTCACGAGAGTCCGAAAGGTGTTATGATAGAAGTTTTCTCAATGTCTTCGGGGGCAACAGGTATAAAATGTATTTCGCTTGTACGCTGCGCCTCCGATGTCTGCCCTGACGACCTAACTTCTGTATTTCCGAACTTAATTGTAGTACTAGTACTAAATCATTTGTAGGCGTCGCAGCTCTTGCTTGCTGGGATACTTATGTCACGGGTATGGCACGAGTAGTTTCCATAATTTGTTCCGCGACCTTGGCCAAATTTTGTAAATCCTTAACCTCTATGGCGGTCAACACTGCTCGCACTGATGACGGTAGGTATCTTTCCCACATCATTTTGAGGGTGTCGTCTGAAAGAACAATGGCGAATTCGTAGTTGAGTATAATTTAAGCGCCTTAAAATGTCATTCATAGGAAACTAATTCTATCTACGTTTTTTGAAACTATCGTCTAAGACAGTAGAACCCCAGGAAAAAAAATTAATATTATAAGCTGATTTGATTATTTTGATTTCCTTTATCAGTTTAGTGTTACCATTTTACAGTCATTTTTTTCAAGTAGTGGAAATACGGTCCAATGAACTGTCGTAAAATTGGTATTCACTTAACAGTAATATAGTAATCAGATAATAGTTTTGTGAGTTTTGTAATTCTAAGTACTGAATCAAGAATGTAGTTTGAGGTGCATTATTAAACGCATTATTTATGTATTTGAAAATCCTGTAGTCGAATAGATGGAAATAAGAAAATTAAGTGGCAACCGCAAGCTGAAAAGTTAAAGGGTTTTGACAAGTCTTGACACTCGTTCGCGCTCTGTGTTTAAATATAAAGACTGACGCGACAGGCGGCGGATGGCCGATAGTTAGATTATTAGAAGGTTTAGAATTTACAATTCATTACATGTTCAAATATGTAATAAATTAAGAAAAAGGAATATACTTATTGGATATTATATAATGTAGATGTACATATTGTTTTTTTTTTCAAAGTGACCAAAGCCGCCCATGAAGGTCTCAAATTCAGGAGTCACAAACACGTTGCCGACCTTTTAAGAAGGAGTACGCTCTTTTCTTGAAGGTTTGAAGGTCGTATCGGTCCGGAAATACCGCAGAGGATAACCCGTTCCGCTGATTGGTTGTGCGGGGCAAAAATTGTCTCGAAAAGCGCACAGTAGTGGAGCGCCAACAATCCAGGTAGTAAGGATGAAAATTTTGACGTGTGGAACAATTCCTCGGAGCACTCTCCATGATATATGCGATAGAGAATGCAGAGTGAAGCCACATCTCTACGTAACGCCAAGGGATCGAGCCGATCGGAGATGTTTGGGCGATCGACGATTTGAGTCGCTCTTCGTTGGATGCGGTCCAGATGGAGAAGCTGGTACTGAGGTGCCTCTGCATAGAGATTAGAACAGTATTCCATATGTGGCCGGACATAACTATAAGATAATTATTTCATGCATCAGACACATTAAAAGTGACATAAAAATATTTGCTACGAAAGTTCTACAGCTAGTGGACTATATTCATTCTTTAGTATCTTTCTTTATTTTAAATTACACATACAGCTATAATACAATTATCAAATAATTATGTAAAATAATCATCAATCAACATCAGCCAAGCCTTTAATAGTCCAATACTGGACATAGGCCTCTCCATAGAAAAGAGGTTTTGGCCTACTATATCACGCTGGCCAGACGGTATAGGGTTTGTTTCAAGTTTGCCTTCTCTTTGCAGTGCTGTTGTCCTGCGAAGTTTGTTCCCTTAGTCGACTCTTACGACACCCACGAGATGAATAGGGGTGGTGACGTTCCGTATTCTTAATCCGTCACCACACGGACGGATAAAATAATACAAAAACCAATTTGAAAAGAGTCGATGGATAAATTGATAAAATATGGAAACAGTATGCAGCTATCTTATAAAATACTTTACTATTTATCTGTGGAATCTTTTAAAGGGAGTTCACAGATGAAGGAAATGCAGGGCGTAGCTAAAAAAATCAAATGCTAATATCAAAAAAATTAGGATGGTCAAAATTTACAAAAAATCTGCTTACGTAATACTTGAACGGCTCCTCAGGTACGATTTTCTTTTTTCATAAAATCAAGAATTTATTCGATATTTTTTGATGCTCAAACTTTCATTTAAAAGAACTTGCGAAATAAACGTATTATTATTATATTTTTCATATAACGTTATTAAGAATGTACCAGCTTTTTTTCAAATACCAGCTTTTAGAGCCTTTTAGCGACATCTGTACCAGCTTTGGCTCACCACAATCTCTCGTGCCACAAACTAACATCCCTGCTTTTATTGAACGCAGCCATAAGACATAACCTCAATTGTCACAGCACTCGTTCTGTTCTTAGATTTGACAGAACTGAAATGAGATATTTACATTTTTAGATAAATATAAAAATAAAAAATAAAAAACTATTCAAAATGGTATCTGCTACTCGTTTATTTGTGGGTAATATCCCAGACAATGCACAGGAAGAAGATTTGGCCTCTGCGTTTTCTGCTTTCGGTAAAATCACCAACTTAGATTTAAAATCTAAAGTTGAGTCTGGAAGCGAAAGTAAAAAATTCGCGTTTGTTTCTATATCTGCTCAAAATATAGATGTCGAATCATGTAAGTACTGATAAAGTTTATATAAGTTCTAGTAGTTTAAACTCTTAAGAATCTCGAAAGAAAAATGTAACTTCCTAGTACTTTAACCTGCCTAGAAAGCAACATAATCAACAATGAGATACCTCACATATGGCCATCTCGTTCTATACTAAGCAAAGCCCGCACTAGACTGCTACAAATGAATTGTGACTTGCATCTTACTATAGAAGTTTGGAAACTACAAAGGTGTCTGTAGTTTTCTTGGAAAGTTGGTTAGGTATTTTATTACTTAATTATTGCTTTAAGAACTAATTTCCTCTCATATCAGGACAATCGAATTCAACCTCTTGAGTTTTATTTCAAGTTAGTAAGGCTCAATAAGGTCACTGTTTTTTTTTTAATCCAAAGTCCTATACTTACTAAACTACAGGTCCTGTAACTCAGCTAAAGGAACACAGTCATGGTGACTGATATATTATACATATAAGTGACAATACTTACTTATTGCAGTGAACTGAATATTGTTTACTAAGCTTTAATATATATTTTTAAATTATTCTAGGCATTAAGCATTTTTCAAATGAGGATTTTAATGGTAAAAGGCTGTATGTAACTAGAGCGCGTGAAAGTTTCTTAGAACGATTACAAAGGGAAAGGGCAGCAGCACAGCAAAAAGAAACAGAAAAGGTAAAAAAACATTTTACAAAAGACTTTTTATATTATTATGTAATTAGGTACCTGACTGTGTTATGTATTAAAGTATATCGCCATATAACAGGCAACATGCCAACATATACAAAAACTGGAATACTAGTGAGATGTATATAGAATGTAATGCTAACTTTTTTTTGAGCCATTTTTTTATTTTCGCCATTGACATGTTTGATTGATGGTTAGTACTTCTTGGGGGAGGCATTGGCCTTTGTTCAGCAGTGGACGGCAATAAGCTGATAATGAATATTTGACTACAAATTTGTCCATTGGGTGTGTCTAGATGATAAGGATAAGCCCTTTTTAATAACTAATTAATAACTTACAGGACAACCACCTCCATCACAAACCTGACAAAAACCCTGTGCTGAATTTAAGTGATAAGTTGAATCCTAAAAAGAGAAAAATAGACCATATTGAAGGCAATCATAGCAATATTACTAGAAAAAACCAAACTAATGAAGGGATAAAATTGAATAATCACGGATTTGGTGATGACCCTATGGATTCTACAAGTACAATGCAAAATAAGAAAAATGAAGCTGAGCGAAAAAGAATGGAGTCTATAAAAAAAAAGAGGCAGGAATTTAAAGAAAAAAAGATGATCATTAAAACTGGTTTAACTGGTGTTGTATGTAACTTCTTTGTCTTTATAATCATTGTCATATTTTAATACTGAAGATTAAAGCTGTATTTACATTTTAGTGAGAAAAATCATTTTTCTACAACTACTTGTTCACAGGCTCAAACACCTGCCTGGTGAAAGCTAGAATTTTTATAACATATGAATCTGTCTGGTGAATTATAATCACCTAATCAGGATAAGAGCAAAACACATCATAGACAGTTTCCCCTAAAACTACACATTCCTTACTAAGATTAAATATGGACAAGTTTAATAGTTACACAATAATAAACAAATAATCAATCAAAACCCTTTTTCAGGACAAAGTTCAAAATAAAAAAATAGTTTTTGATGACAGTGATGATGACATGCATAGGGAAGTGAAAGATAAAAATAGGCAAAAAGATATAAAAGTTGGAAATGGAAATTCTCTTTTCAATGATGATGTTGAAGAAAGTGATGAAGAACTCAACTTTGAAGTTAAAAAACAATTTGAGGGCAAAAAAGGACAAAAGGTATAAATCCAATTCATTTTGTTAAAATATGTTAAGTACACCTTTGTAGCGTTGTTTATTTTGTGTATAAAATTAGGTTTTAGATTTGCAATCAAGATACAAATCTGATAAACGTTTCACCTTAGATGAAAGGTTCATGGATGATGAAGCAAACTCCGATGAAAAACAATCGGAAAATGAGGAAGTTGAATTAGGACCAGCAGATGAAAAGGCCAAACAGCTTAATATACTACAAGATGTACTTGGAGTTACACTTAAGACAAGAGACAATGATTCAGATAGCAAGAAGATAAAGTAAGTAAATAGTTTTTATGGCATAATGGTCATAGCGGGGCAAATGAGCAGACAGCTCACCTTATGGTATGTGACAGGAGTCACAACTGTGTTCACATCCTTTGTCACAATACACTTAATTCTCTGTTGTGTTGTTCCTCACTCACTTTGCCTGCAGTGCTCGCGTCAAAAAGCGTCAAACTTCAAACTAACTTAGTTTGAAGTTGGATGGTGTGACAGCGCTGTAGCTTCGAATTTCAAACGAACTTAGTTTGAAGTTCGACGCTGTCGCAGCACTGTAGCCAAGAATGTTTCCTTAGAGAATAGCACTGCTGTTAACAGCCACTTACCATCAGTTGATCTGTCTGTTCATTTGTCCTATATGCTATACAAAACATTAATGACAATTTATTATCTAATCTTTCATTTTATTTATCTGCTCGATCCCTTGGCGTTACGTAGAGATGTGGCTTCACTCTGCATTCTCATGAAATCATATCATGGAGAGTGCTCCGTAGAATTGTTCCAACTAATACCAGCCGCAAATTTCCGCCATATCAGGTAATGAGGATGAAATTTTTTTCATCCTCATTACCTGATATGGCTTACCTGGATAGTTGGCGCTCCACTACTGTGTGCTTTTCGAGACACTTTTTGTATAACCAATCTGTGGAACGGGTTATCGTCTGCGGTATTTCCGGACCAATACGACCTTCAAACCTTCGAAAAAAGAGCGTACTCCTTCCTAAAAGGCCGGCAACACGCTTGTGACTCCTGAGTTGTTGCCGACTCGTTTATGACTCCGGAGTTGCAGACGTTCATGGGCGGCGATGGTCACTTTCCATCAGGTGACCCGTCTGCTCGTCTGCCCTCTCTAAAATTAAATTTTATTTTCAGACCAAAATTAGGAATGCTTAGATTTGACCCTATGCAACCAGATCATGCAAAATTTTTGACACCAATGGAAACAAAACTAGAACCACCCAAGAAATCCAAAAAGAAAATGAAAGAAGAAAAACATCTTAATGAGTTACAGCCTGTAGTAGAAGTACCAAAAGTGGAAGTTTCAAAGGAACAATTTTATAAAGTCAGTGAAACATTAAAAGAAGCTATCGCTCAACCAAATACATTTAGTCTTAGGAGTTTATTTGGACAGGGTGATAATATTGAAGATGGTATGTATTCATCTAATTTTCAACCTAACACAGAATACAGACACATATATATAATTTATTTTTTATTCCAGCTCCACAAAAACAAGAAACTGACTATATTCCATTAGAAACAGCAAAAGACAAAAAGAAAGTAAAAAATCCTCTAGACCCTACAGATAAGAATCCTTTTGTATATGACTCTTCTGATTCCGAATCTGAAGAACCAGAAAAGAATGTGAAAACTGAATTACCACCTCCTCCTGAAACTAAAGCAGTTTGGAAAGAGAATTTGTTTTTCTCTAAAACTGATTCTCGTCTTAAAGGTAGTAGAAATATTCTTAATATTTAGTATTTTATTTGTTTTTCACAACTACATAAACATGGACTAATATGTTGAGTGTGTACCATTGCCTACAAATACTCAACAGTTTCTCATAAACTGAACTTGTTAATTATATTATAGATACAGTGAAACCTGGTTAAATGAGACATTAAGGGACCTGCAAATTTGTCTCTCTTCCACTTACCCAGTGTCTCAGGTATCTAGGTATAAATAAAAATCTCTCATTTACAGGGTTCCATTAATAGAGGTAAGAATAAAGGTCATTTCAGTTTGAGTTGCGATTATTTAAAAAAAAACTTATTATGCAAACATTATATGTGAGTTTTAATATAATCAAAACTTTCTTCAATCAAACCAAATCGGCATTTTTCAAATAAACATCCATATGAAAGTAAAGCAAAACTAAAACTGAAGGTCATTGAGGCTCCAAATTAGTTAAGTGTGGAATTTGCTGATAGAATAGGAATAAGTAAACAAACTCTTTGACTGCACGGATGGCGTAGTGGTTTAAGCGGTCGCCACGCCGCTTCCTACTGCGCCGAGTGTTGTGGGTTCAAACCCCACATGGGACGACACTTTGTGTGATCCACAAATTGTTGTTCTGAGTCTGGGTGTTCTTTGTGTCCGTTTCATGTGTGTTTGTGGGGTCCCCTGCGACACAGGATTTATTCCTAGTGCGGGAGTTGTCTTTTTTAAAGAAAAAAAAAAAAAAAAAAAAAAAAAAAAAAAAAAAAAGATGTTGTCTCAGTTACACAGGTTAATGCATATAAAATTCACATGCTGTTTCAGTTATAAAGGTAACTATGACGATAAAATCGAAAGAACGAATCCCAGATGTAGAGGTCTGCTTCGTCCCACTAGTAAAGGTATTTGAGTGCTAAAGTGTTGGGACCTCAGCATCAGTTCCAATTATGGAGGTTTCTCACTTATCCAGGTCCCACGTAACCAAGTTTCACTGTACTAGTTATTTTTTTTAAATAGCATCATATAGTAACAAATAGTGGCAAATACGACGTGGACATATAGTCACACATGACTTTTGTGTGTATAGTAACTAAATAAAATTCTATATGAAATATCTTAACAAACAGTTGTTCTCTTTTTAGATGGTCTAATTTTCTTCACTCGAGTTCAACAAAATGAAGTACAAAAGGAGAGAAGAGAACTGAAATCATTGGTAAAGAAAAGGCTCTATAATAATGACAGAAAGAATCAAATGTTCAAAAAGAAAATAGGAGGCAGAAAGAAATCTATGAAAAAACCATATAAAAAGAAAAATTAAATTTATGTACACAAAATAAAATTACAATAATTCCAACTAATTGTTTTAATGTTTCTAAGTTCTTTATTATAATAATGATGTTTTACAGATTTACTTTAGTACACTATTATTTTTAATCTATACAGTTTTATTGTTAACACACAACAAGAATTGTAAGACTTATTATATCCTTGTGCAACAATTGTTGAACCTCAGAATCTAGATTCTGCTAGCTAGACCAAATACTGCTTGCAGAGTATTTGTTTTTAAAATAATGCATTCAGAAGAATATTAATACTTTTCAAATATCATAATAAAACTTGTATAAATTAAACTTTTACATACTTCAAGTAAGATTATTTAGTAATTATCGTTTCTTCCATGTAGCCTTCTTTCTAGCCCCAGGTTGGCCAGGTTTCTTGCGCTCACGACGTCTGTTATCTCTTGTTAACAAACCTGCTACTTGCATTCTCTGTAACATATCTGTATCAACAAAACTGCGCAGACTCCAAGCTATCCCCCAACGTATAGCTCCTGCCTGTCCTGAAGGTCCTCCCCCTTCAATATTACATTCTACATCAACTTTGTCCTGCATGCCAGTAAATATTAGAGGGAAAACTACTTGTTCCCTGGACTGTATATCATCAAAATAAGTCAAATCTTTTCCATTAATTGTAATTTTACCAGTCCCAGGGGACCGTAATGTGACATCACCTCTGGCTTTCTTTCTCAAGCATTCATAAGTTGTGATGAATGCTCGTCCATTATCATCATAGCTTGGTTTAGGAATTTCCAGGGCAAAACGTTGAGACCCAAGTGATTTTCTAAACTTTTCAATGAACTCCTTATGTCTATAAGCATATGGCAAAGAAGCTAGTCTCTCCATAACTAACTTGAAGTTGTCATATTCCAAATCAGTTATATTTTCTACCAACATTTGTTCCAATTGGTCTTTCGTAAGCCAAACACTGGAACTTAAGTTCAAAGTGCCGTCTGGATCTGGTGTAGCTTTTTTCCTTAAGACTTTATCTTCAAAAATGTAAGAGAGCTGTATGTTTTCAGCTGCATCAAACATAACTTTGAAAAAATTTGGTTTTCCTGTATAGAATAAGTAGTGATGAGGCCGTCCTGCCTCATCGAATTCGGCAGCTTTGCGTGCAGGGAAAATTTCCTCAGGCGGTTTCATAAGGGGTCGTGCAGCAGGGTCGTAAATACCGCTCGGGAATAGATATTCAATAGCACGATCAACATCTTTCTGTGTAAATGTTTCAGGATCTTCACCCATCATGTTTGCAAGATGACGTTTTCCAATATTATATTCAAATTGTTGCCTTTTCATGAAATCGTCATGTTCTTGGGCTCTCTCCAAGTACGCTTTCATAGCCTTGCTGACTTTCTTTTTCTTATTTAACGTCTCCCAATCAGTCAAGCTATTGAGTACATTATTGGAACTTATAACCGGACTTTTTGTGCTGTACCTAGTTATATTTCTTACAAGAGGCTGTTGGAAGTTAGCGCACAAGGATTTAGTTGGGATAAATAAGTGCTTTATAATTAAAGACATCTTTAATAAACAATGGTATATAAAATTATAACTAAGCAATTAAATATTCATAACATCCTTTGCTATATTTTATTACTTTTTATATAGTAAACTTTTTTTTTTTTGTAAGTGAACCATTTAATAAAGGAAGAAGTATAACCTCAAAATAAAAAGGCCTTTCGTTCTTGTACTCCTACTCCCTGTCAGCTGTCAATTAGGGATGGCGATCTGAAATCAAAAAATCGATTTGTCGGGCCAAAATATTCTTTTTTAATTGTTTTGTAGCACTGAATGCATTCAGTGGATCGATATTTCAACCTAGAAAATCGACATTTGATTTTCTCTGCTTAGATAAAAGCCTAACATGATTCACAACTTGTTGAATATACTCAACAAAAAACACAGGCCAACAGACTTTTTACCTAGAAACCAGAGTATACTTTTTGGTAGGTGTAGTTTTTAAAGCCCAAAAAAGATGTATTCGAGCTATGTTTAGTTAAAATAGTAGAGATAGCTGTAAACCATCCTTAGTTAGGCACGATATCTTAACTTTACCGTCCTCTTTATATATATTTGAAACAGCAACTTTTATAAAATTAAATCCTGAATTATTGAGACTGGCGGACACTGTTTCACGAAGTAGAAGGACATACACGCGATAGGTTTTGCATACATAAAGCAATACAGCTTCATTGCACAAAAGCATCTTCTGCATGGCGCCAATCATATTTAACAGGATACCTAATGAATTTAAAAAGTTAAATATTAATCTATTTAACAAGCGCCTTCGTGACTTTTTGGTAAAGAAATGCTACTATTCAATACTCTCTCACTTTCTCTCAGTAAAATAAGAATAAATTTGCATTATTACTAGTTGGGATGATCTTATTATTGTTGCTTAGTTAAATAAATTTTATTAGTAACTTAAACTATTAATTTAATATAATTTATTATTCTAAATCCATTGACAATTATTGTAAACAAGTTTTGCATGCCGTTAAGGTAGACCAAAGAGGACATGTATAAATAAAAATGTAACACCGTCGTACACCTTTGATCAGCAAATAAATAAATTATGAATTAGGATTTTGGTGTTAGTTAGAGCAATTCTAGGGCCGATTTTGATTCAGCACACCAAAATCCAGGAAAGTATACTCTGGTTTCTGGGTAAGAAACTATCAAATTTTATTGGCCAGTGTTATTGTTCCTTTGTTATACTATATTCTTGATCCATTAATTTAATTATTCAAAATTCTAAAAAGGCTAATAAGTTGAGATAAATTATTATTATAGGACCATTTATGTACCAAGTATACAAGTGTGTAGTTGACAAATAAAGATTGATTTGAATAGAGGAGCCTGAATTAGAACGAAAGCTAGCCTCACATGCCACTATAAGAGTTCAACACAACGCCTTAATACTTAGTGCCCCGTTAGTGTCGCTTTTGCAGCTACTTTATTCTCCATGCTACTCGACCACGTCAAGATCGAATCGAGTTAATCAAATAATTAGTCCCTTTACTTAAATTAACTGATTTAAAATAATTCACCTTGGCAGTAAAATGTATTTGTTTTTAGCTGCTAAATACATTAGTGAGCTCATTCGTAAATAGCGATTTAAACATCGTTTTTGATGCAATTTATATTTTATGTTATTTATGTTTGTTTTATGTTATTTTGTTGTCAACACTTGGTTGTTTATTTATTGCAGTAGTAACAAGTTTTTAAGAAGAATTTAAATACTTTTAGCAATGTTCTAAGAGTGTGATAAGTAAATAAAAATAGTTAAGATAATTCACTTTATTAACAGTATTAATCTTATAAACATCCATCATATAGTAGTAGATGTACAGGATCTGCCATTCTTTAGAAAATAAGCGTCTACACTAAGCCTACCTGATAATTTGGTATGGTTACAAAAACAATTGTAATTATTGACTGCAGAGTTTGATTATTTGTTTGTTACACAAACAAATAATCAAACTCTGCAGTTTTATAATATAATATAAGAGATCGTTTATTTTGGTACCTTTCTAATTTTCCATAAAACGGGTTTATTCGAAAATCGAATTTTAGGCAATCAATCCTTTATACCTCGATTTTTGGTGAATCGGTTCAAAAGCTTACGATTTGAATCAATCTCAAAATCGATAATTTCAGAAAGAATCGCATCCCTACTGACAATTCGTAATTGACATTGGCATTTTAGCAAATAATGTTAACAATGTTGAAAATCTTTGTAACTCTGGTTTCCCTTCATAACGTATAAATGTTGAAAATGTTTTACATAAAATCCTTTGACAGTTTGTCTTTCAAATACATGACATTGGCGAAATTGTGGTTACACTCTACCACAAAGCCATTAACCAAAAGTTGAAGTTGAAAATCTTTTTTTTTGTTTAAAATCAAGGCATGTGATCGTGTTAGATTAGACTGATGTACAATAAAAAAAATTGATTTGCTCTGAAGGTGGTATAGCACCTAACCTAATTACTTTAATATTTATAGACTGATACCCTTTCCTCTACTCTTGGTTGCAATTTCTTGTTCCCAAAAAGGTAGAGTTGTGTAGCTCCTGAGTAAGTGATATAAAAGAAATATATCATTCACGACGATAAAATGTATCACTCACTCACACTAGCTCCGAATATATCAGTAACTCAGTACTAGCTCACTAGATCACTAGCTCAACGACGCCGATCTTTGTTTCATGAGCGAGTGAGACTAAAGATAGATGAGTGAGATAGATGATGGTTGAGTTCACGCAAGTTTCTTTATGCAAAATGTACATTATTTCTATAAGATCAAAGTTTAATATTACTCAAGAATTAAGCCAAGTACAAGGAAAATCAAATTATGTATGATTTCTATTATACAACCTAAAAAAAAGTACAAGAAATAATTTCTTATTTTTAATTATTATGTAAAAGGATGTTAATAATTATGTAATCTTATCAAAATGAATAAAATTGTATTTAAAAAAAAAATAGGTTAAAAATGTAGTTTCAAAAACTGAATTTAGGTTAATATGAAAATAAAGAAAGGTTTGTATGGCGAGAGAGGCTTAAAGTGAGTGATATACGAGTATACTGAGCTAAAAGATCTAGATGAAGAAATGAATTAACTGAGAGACCAATCAATTGAATCGGATTAATGAGCTAGTGAGCTAAATGAGCTAGTGAGCTAAACGAGTTGGTGAACTAAATGAGCTAGTGAGCTAGATGAGTGATATTTATCTTTTGAGCGAAATGATATATATCAATCTTTTCAGCTCAGTGGTATCACTGAGCTGAAAAGATTGATATATATCATTTCGCAGTGATGCGCAAAATGTATATTTTGCGCATCACTACAAAAAGGTGAAACAGTGAAGAACTTTGTTCACCTTATATTTTCTACATACTCAAAATTAAAAAATCAAAAACACGTAACAACTTTTATGTCGGGTTATTATTCAGACGTCAGGATTTACCTCACTCAAGCTCGAAATTAGATTACCTTTTACTCAGTACGATTTTAACTAAAATGCATTCGATTTTAAGTATCTCGACATTAACTATTGCTTATTTAGTAATAGACAAAACCTGTAAATATTTTAAAATATGAAAAGGCAACACTGGTTTGTAGTTTATGATTCAATTCAAACAAACTTTGTAAACAAAATGGACCGTTAGAAAGATAAGCGTTTGTAAACTATGTAACTTTGTTGTTAATATATTTATTTAGTAGAGGCATATAGTGTATGATTATGAATGTTCTCTGTATCGCTTTAAAATAAATTAGAGACGATTTTACTTTTCAAAATGACTGACAGTGAAAGTGAATTATCTAACTCTAACTTATTGCCCTTCCAGACTGTGAATACGGTAAGTACTTCTGTTTGTTTCTCCCAGTTTTTATATCATAATTTTCTAAGTTCTGGTAACGTCATTTTAATTTCAGACTGTGAGTGCAAGAGGTCCATATACAAATATATCCAACTTCAGCTTTCGCAATCCAATGACTTCTACAATGTATAATATGCCGCGAAACTTTGAGCGACAGAGGTATGCTGAATCTGTATCGGATCAGAGGAGTATATATTACAGAAGAGAGAGGTCGCCGATGTCGATACACAGTGCCTGCGATGTATGGCCTCGCAACTTCCAACAAAATTATGGGATGAATTCACAGCGATCGGTTTTCAATGGTAGAAGTGGTTCTCCTCTATCTATAAGAAGTAATGGTATGTCTGTGTTATTCTGTTATTAGTCTAAGCTACTGTTTACCATGTTTGCAGTATATAGTTGTGTATATTTTATTAGATATCAAACTTATGCCATGTTAATAACTTTGTAACGTTTATAACTTACCAGTGAATTTTTTACCATTAAAGTATACCCATTAATTAGTTAAATCTCTTTTACAGATTCTAGTGCAAGTGCTGCTGACATAGCTTTTGCATTCAAAAATGTTAAATTCAATAAATATGATTTGAAAGTGATCAAAGAAGCTTACCAGAAATTGATGAAACAACGTCACAGAAAAAGAATTGAAAAGAGACGTAATATGAGAAAGTTTCTAAAAGGTAACAGAAATAGATCAGGTGATGACTCGGGGGAACAAGCCAGCGATTCCTCTGTAAGCAGTGATGACTGCAGGTCTATAAAGACCTCTTACAAAGAAAATGTGTCGAGTAGTAGAATGACAAGAATGGACAATATGTTAAAAGACTGCACAGAAAGTTTCAGACAGAATACTTTCAAAAACATTTTTTCAGTTGGAAATAATTTTAAAGGAAATCAAAAATTTGATAGTTCTTCACTTTCTAACAACATTCGTGCATTGCCTTCTCAAAAGGAGAGATTTAAAACTGGGTTTCTTTTGCCATCTCAAAGGTTTAATAAGTCAGTGGTTTCAACTTTTGTCTCACAAAATATAGAAAGTAATCTCAACAGTAATGAAAGCAATTGTAAACAAAATGAGGTGCTAATGGGAGACAAAAGTCCTGTCAGTGGAAGTGAAGAGGAAATATTTCCAGGCAAGACAGCTAGAGAAAATATTGTCTGCAACAAAGAAGTAGTGCATAAAAGAACCCTAGATGGTGATGAAGATTCCAGTTTTCCAGATAGAAAGAGAAGTAAAAAATCTTCTCCTAATATTATTCCCAAATCTAAGACAAAAATTTTATCAACAACAAAAAATAGTACAATAAATAACAATGTTGTTGATAGTAATAATTTTGAGTTTGCGAAGCCTACATTACCAATTAAAAAATCTAGAACCAAAATGCAAGAAAAGATTCTTTCAAAATCCAATAACCCTCTAACAGAATTTGTGGAGTCAATTCCTAAACAAATATCAAGAAATGTTGAAGAGGTTCAGCCTCTTATTAGTCCAAGTAAACCTGTCAATGGTCAACCCGAAATTGTACAGTCAGCATCAAGTCAAGACTGTGAGGTGTCTATGCGACCAAGCTTCATAAAGAGAAAATTATTTACTCAGAAGCTTGATGTGGCAGAAAAGAGTAATGTAAGTAGTGAGGTTATCAATAGTCCACAAGATGTATACAACACATTTCAAAAAGAGAAAAACAAAGCAAGAAAACTTGTTCCCACACAATCATGTATGAATAGAGAAGTACAAAGGGATAATAATCTCTTAGATTTAATTCACAAAATTGTGCCTCCTGACTCCATTAATAGAAGCAATCAAACAAAGACAGATGTAAATAACTCTAATAAGAGAGATGATGATGACACATGGGATGTAACTTCTGTAATATCTATGTGCAATGAAACTGATGTAAGTGACACTTTTACTGATGAAGACATATTTGGCAATAACGATAAAAAGAAATGTAGAAGTAAAAACACTAAAAATACCAATAATCTTCCCAAAACAAGAAACAGTAGCTTTATAAAACCAAAAACTGTAAAAAATATAATTGACAGTGTAAATCTCCCTCAAGAATGTAGAACTACTATTGCTAAAGTTGATAAAGAGAAAAGTAAAAAACCTAATAGTACCAATTCACGGCCTAATACGAGAAATAGAAGCAAAATACAAAGCGAAAAACCGAAAGCAATAAAATGCATAGACAAAAATTTAAATTCATCTCATGAAGGTAGTATAGTCATTAATAAGGTAGACAAAGATAAAAGTAAAAAAGCTTATACCAATCCTTATAGAATAACTAGAAACAATAGCTTTTTAAAACAAAAGGAAGTCAAAAGCATAGATGAAAATAAAAATCTAACACAAAATGAAGAAAAAAGTAAAAATTCGAACAATACTAATCTACTGAGAACAAGAATCGATAGCAATATAAAACCAAAAGCAGCAAAAAGCGAAGACAAAAAGTCACCTCTCGAAAGTAGGAGGGCTCCTAACAAGATAGATAACGAAAAAACTAAAAAAAGCAATGAATCTAATCACAGAATGACAAGAAATAATAGCAATATAAAACTAAAAGAAGCAAAACACATTGACGAAAGTATGAATCAAGATAAAGAAAAGAGTAAAAGAAACAACAACGTGAATCATCTTCCGAAAACGAGGAATAATAGCAATATAAAACTGAAAGAAACAAAACACATTGACGAAAGTATGAATCAAGATAAAGAGAAAGAAAAGAGCAAAATTAACAACAACGTGAATCATCTTCCGAAAACGAGGAATAATAGCAATATAAAATTAAAAGAAACAAAACACATTGACGAAAGTATGAATCAAAATAAAGAAGAGAGTAAAAGAAACAACAATGTGAATCATCTGCTGAAAACGAGAAATAATAGTAATATAAAACCAAAAGAATGTAAAGTAATTATAAATGAAATGCCTGCAACTCAAGGTGCTCTAAGAGCAGGAACCATCCTGAAGATTAATGCCTTGTATAACAATACCAGTGAGTAATAAGTACTACTCTTACTTTATATACTTTATTTTAGTTACATATTTTTAGTTCATTTTGCCAGTTGAAGTTTCTGTCCTAGTGATGCCTTCAGTCTGCTACGGTATCATTACCGTTTTGCATCTGAGGTGTGTGATATCCCTTGCTCTTAGCTTTCTCACCATATCAGTATTCCTTACCGCAATTGACTTTTTTCCCTTATGACCGGAGGGTTGGCGTCACAAAAATAGGCAGTCAACCAAAAACCCTTTACAATGTTAATTTTTGCTGACTTTGGGAAACAGGAAAAGGGGAGATGAATTGTGATGGTGATTGTGGTGGTGAAGATTATAAGCATCTGTGTACGTATACGTAAACTAGACTTCTGAACTAGGTTGCAAGACTAGATCACTGAGACAGCTGTACCAAGTGCTTGTTATATTGCGGGCAGGCGCAAGACACGATCCAGAGGTCTCGATTACATCTGTTCCCGTATCCGGCCTATATCAGGCTCTCAGTGGCACACCATGTAGTTTTAGTTAATTCGATTCCCACACACCGCTCGCCCCGACGCAATCTCCGATGATCTCGATAGGTAACTGCCACATAAAGGGTGTTGCCACATATAAAAAAAATTGTTCTTGAAATTTAATGTAAACCCGTTCATCACCTTGAATATTAAAAGACGACGTATATATGAGATATGTGGGTTAAATGTTAATTATATTTACAAATTTTTAAATATACGTAATTATTTCAGATGTAACTAAGAACATAGTGAAGAGATCTGCTAAAACATTTTGGGATACCGATTTTGAAAGTGATGCAGAATATCAAAGTACACCACAGAGAAGGGCAATCAAAAGATAAAATACATCTTCCGATTTAGGTTAGATTAGTCATAACATTTATTAAATACTTGTTTTAGAAAAGTGAAAGTATGGTTCACCTCTCTGATATGTCAGAAAAGTGAAGTGTTTGCCAGTAGAACACTTGAACTTTTTACGTTATAATTTAGTTGATAAAGAAAAAGAAGGTATTTATTTGTCCTACAGTGCCATCAATAAAATTTGTTCGTAATTTATTTTTGCTTCATGTCACCGTTTCATTATATTTTATTTAAACAGAAATGTCTGTTAAACCATGATTAGCAAAAAACCTAATTCATATAGGTATAGTTACACAAAGATGTGTTTGTTATTTTTATAAATATTCTATGCTGTCCTTTATTCAAGCTGGTATTATGAATGATAAATAGCTTTGTAAATAAACAGTTTTTTACTTTGGATTGTCTTAATTAAACTTTTATATTTTAATCATTAACTATTAATTATCGTTTTATTGAAGTTTAACCGACCTAAATACGCCTAAATCATGGTTAATTCATACAAGCTATATATTTTTCATAACTTAATATTTCAATTTTAGACTTGGAAAACTTTCTTCAAAGTTTAATGAGATTAACTTAATTAATGTAACTACAAAGATAATAATTGAAATCGATTCACAATTGTCATAGATATCGCGTAAAAAGATGCAAGTAATCAGTCTAACTTTATACTTAAGTGCCTATTGCCTGTAACTCGAATTGTTGCCGGGAAGTTCGGGTGTAAGTATAAGGTATACTTATTTTTAAAAATTTGATATGAAAATTAGGAGGTATTGGATTTACAGAAAGTCTATTCTATTATATATAAATGCTTGAACTACTTTTTTAGCGTAGTGACTTACGATACTTTGAATTGTAATGAATTGTATAAGTACTAAAAATTTTACTTTAAACTAATTCCTTCAAACTAATTTTTGTAAGATATGTAATAAATATTAAATATAAATATGCATTTTGTTTCATTTTACATACAGCTTACCTAGTAAAGCAGACTAAAAGGTATTCGAATATATAGATAATATTATAAACCACTGATAGGTGGTCTACGGCAGAACTTTACCGGCTGACCAGTTGTTAGAAAAACAGATTTAGTTATGTAAATGTGCTCATTGTTCACAGCGATTCTGACAAAGACAATAATGAGAAAAGCGGTTCAAATTACACTTATTTTTATGAGGTTCAATCAGTTTAGTTGTTGTTTCTGCACATCCCGAAGCGACAAGGTTTTTTTTATTTTTTAACTAATCGTACAAAACTTAGATCAATAAATATATTTAAATCGTCTGTTTGAAGTGTTAAGTGGTAAATAATTAAAGTGGCAAATGTTGATCACGATTTTTTTCGAAGCTTTCACAGCTTAGACAGTCAATCTAGAAAAATCAATGGGGTAACGCACACGAGGACAGCAATCGCATTATTTGTAGTGGGACAAACTTTTTTACGTGTACCCATAATACAAATGCTTTCAAACAGGCATTTATTTCATCTGCCGGCTCACCCAATGGCGGATTAACCCTAAGGCAAAGCACATGCCTAGGGGCGCGAGGTTACAAAAGGGATCGCGCGCAGATTTTTTCACAAAAAATAAATAAATGCCTAACATAAAAAGAACTGTGTCAATAAGTTTGCACATACACAACTTAAAAAAATCCTTAATTCTAAACAGATTCTTAAGGTATGTTCAATCATGAACATAATTGCATCACCCAGCAACAGCATCTATGTCACACGTGGTGCGGCGTAAAGTCGATGCTAGGATTTATATTACCTAATTGTCACAACTTCTTTGCATTCATTTTCTGATACCTTCGAAGAATGAGTAAAGTGCGTGTACACACAAATGCAGTTGCTATAACTGCAGCTGTAGTGGAGATTACTCTGTAAGTTGTGGTAATAGATCAGGGTTATCCAGGCAACGGCACTATACGGTACAAAGGTGTGGGCGAAAGCTCAGAATAAGGCGCGCTCTGAGGGTGTTAACTTGCGATGCTGGCGGATCTCTGCCATGGGATTTAGAGGCGGAAATGAGAGGCTAAAGGCCGCTTGCCGAGCCACGATGACTTGTTAGTCGTTCCGGCTGGAGGCTACACTTACGGTCTTGGTTCCGTGGAGGCGGTCCAACCGGTCATCGTCCAGTGGGCGGGGTGGCTGCACGGGACCCTTTCCTTCCAACTGACGCAGATCTTTTCTGGGCATGTCTGTACCAGCAGTCGATCGCTAAGAGTGAATTGAGTTGCGCCCGTCACCACTACAGTGCAGTTTGAATTCACTGGTCAACGTAGGGTGCGTCCGGCTCTCATTGCAGTCATCGGAGAGGATTTCTCGCTACCAACCGTTACACGCTCCTTGGCTTAGGTTCCTTTTGGCACATCATGCCGCCATGAGTGTGGTCTCAGGTAGCTGGGTTTTCCCCTCCAATCGCCACGAAGACCTACCGTCAGGAGGTGACGTCTAAAGCTTTTGATACCATAGTGCTGTAATTTCCTAATCAGTGTTTCATGAACAACACAATCAAAAGCTTTAGATAAATCGCAAGAGATACCTAGAGAATCGTAGGTATCCTTTAACAAGGTTTTGAATAAAGTATTATTATTATTCTCTTTATTTACTTTATATACATATTATTTACATTTTTAAACATACACTTTATAAAAAATTATAAAAAAATACATTTAAAAATATAAAAAATAGTAGACCACCGACATCGGGTACAGGGACCAAGACACCGGTGGTTAGGACTCCAAAGATAGGAACCTCCTCACTATACGAGCCGTGTCAAGGAGGACTGCCTTCTGCATCAGACCCTTGATCCAGCCGTCCAACGTGAGCCTCTTAAGGTGTTGGTCGAGGCTCTTGGCTATCAATCCGTGAGCAGATACGACTATCGGAACAATGATCACTGAATCTACATTCCACATATCGACAATCTCGTGAGATAAATCCAAATATTTAATTTGTTTTTCTTTTTCAACTTTCACGAGATTCTCGTCATGAGGAACGGCGATATCAACAATCATTGCGCGGCGCTCTAATCGATCTATCAGCACAATATCAGGCTTATTGGCAACAATAGTCCTGTGTGTGATACTAGATCGATCCCAATACAACGTGGCCCGACCATTCTCGAGAACTGGGTCGGGCACATACCTGTAGTATGGCACCTCTAGATTCACAAGATGGTATTTAAGGGCAAGCTGTTGGTGTACGATCCTGGCTACTTGGTTGTGCCTGTGCAAATATTCTCCGTTAGCAAGACGAGAACAACCAGAAATAATATGCCTGATTGATTCGCCAGGACGGTGGCATGCCAGACAGATGTCAACCGTACCATCTTTCAGGATATATTTCCGATAGTTATTCGTCATGATAACTTCGTCCATAATCGCACAAACAAAACCTTCAGTTTCTCCGAAGAGATCACCATACCGTAGCCAAGTCGTAGATGCTTTTAAATCTATATCAGACCCGTTTAGGGCCCGATAAAACCGACCATGGAGCTCTTTGCCCTTCCATACTTCCCTGCGATCATTAACACTAAGTACTACAGGTCTGCGCCAATTCTCTTTAGCCAGAGCGAGCGGGGTGAAGCCGGTATCCACTGCAACTACATTGCGATGCACTCCCACATCGGTATGTAGAAAATATTCTCTGAGATTGCATATCTCGCGATTATGTAGGGTCTTGATATTTAATAGTCCGCGACCCCCAAGCTTTCGCGGGATATACAATCTCATAACTGATGAACGTGGGTGGTGCATTCGGGATGCAGTCAGCAGTGTACGGACTTTCCTGTCAAGGGCATCTAATTCGGTCTGAGTCCATCTAAGTATAAGAAAGGAATACATCAGAACCGGCATGACCCAACCATTGCAGGCTCGCACCTTGTTGCCCCCTGATAAAAGACTTTTAAGTACTTTTTTCAAGCGGCCAAAAAAGCGTTCCTGCAATGTTTGTTTCATGTTAGATTCTGGTATTCCCAACGACTGTGATATACCCAGATACTTGTAAGTTTCAGTGGCAAACAGAGATCTGAGTTTTGTTGAATCTGAAAGCTCTATTCCTTCAGATTCAACTATCACACCCTTCTTTACATACATGACTGCACACTTCTCTACACCAAATTCAATTTTGATAGAATTACTAAAGTTTTCCGTCACCTTTAGTAACTTTGTCAATTGTAATTTGTTGGAGGCTAACAGTTTCAAATCATCCATATAAAGAAGGTGAGATATAACTTGATCATCTCTCTGCAACCTATAGCCTAACCCTGAACCCTCTAATAAAGTGCTAAGAGGGTTCAAAGCCAGACAAAACCACAAGGGACTCAGACTATCACCTTGAAATATACCCCGCTCGATTTTTATTAGTACATCGTGTATCGCCGTCTGCCGACATCCTGGATAGCGAAGTGCTGTTCTCCATTGCCCCATACATGACTTCAAGAAAGTGCACAGAGTTGTATCAATTTTATACAACTCCAGCACCCTCAAAAGCAATGTGTGTGGAACCGAGTCATAAGCCTTCTTATAATCTATCCAACACGTCGCCAAACTCTTACGATTACGACGTACCTGTTGGCTAATGGTCATGTCTATGATAAGGAGGTCTTTCGTGCCACGGGTCCCACTTCTACATCCATTCTGAGAAACTGACATAATCGAATTATTATTAATATGAAAAGTAATTTTGAGTCTCAGAATAGATGTTAGAAGTTTATACATGGTAGGTAAACATGTAATAGGTCTAAAATTTTTGGGATCCATGACACTACCAGACTTATAGAGTAAGTGGGTTATGCCAGTGGTTAAAAATTGGGGTAATGAACCCGAATCCAAAGCTGCCTGGAATTGAGATGCCAAACGCGCATGTGAGCTTCTGAATCACTTAAGCCAAAAGTTGTGCAGTCCGTCTGGACCAGGTGATTTCCAATTCGGTAATGAACGAACTGCACAACTTACATCATCTTTATCAATTTTAACAG